TATTAAACATGGTTTTCATTTCTTCCTTTATATCTGTTTTGAGTACTGTAAATTCTAATTTTTGAATTGAACTACCAAAATTTAAAATGCTGTGGGAGTGTCATTCAGGGTTAATCTATACTTGGCCTTCACAAATCAACATGGAGAAGGACAATATGGAAAATGGTACTGAGGGAAATAATTGTTTCCCTCTGCTCAGCACTGGTGAGAGAAACCAGAGAGCTGTGTCCAGCTCTGGCCTTCCCAGCTCAACAGAAACAAGAACAGAACTGGAGTGGGACCAGTGAAGGGCCACAAAGGGATCAAGGCACTGGAGCATCTCTCAGGCAAGGAGTGCCTTACCAATGTGTTCAGATATCCTGTGGGGGGAACAGAGGACAAAAGTCCAGTCTTCTTAGTGCTGCCCAGGAAAGGAGGCAATGGCCACAAACTGAAACACAGGAAATTCTATTTAAATGCAAGAAATAATTTTTTGGAGCATGCTCCCCATAGAGGATTTAGTGTCCCCCTGCTCTAGCTGATCCTTCTTTGAGTGTGGCCAGGCCCTACTGCATCAGGTGTTAGATTAAAAGATGAGATACTTTTTTTAGGAGATGTGATTGTCCTAACACTGAAATAGCCATCCATATATTTTTGTTAGTTTGGGTGAAATATAACTAAAAGGATGTAGGCTTCTTTACTATGGAAAACCTTTGACAACTTGAATCTTAATCTTCCCTACATATAAACTTGGCAGTTGCTGAATCAGTATTGTCAATATATTTTCAGCATGGCAGAAACCTGACTAATGTCTTTTGATCTTGTTATGGTGTTTTTATTAATAATATTGAGAGTGATTACTTGAGCAACTGCAAAATTACTATTTATAAAGAAGACATCATGCTTCAGTTAAAAGTTGTCAATTTCTCTGTATCTTCACTGTCCTAACTATAGTAATTGTAATTAAGTGAGTGTAGGCTTTCAGCTAAATTTGTCTAATCAGCTTATCTGGATTGCTCTCCTCCTGCAGTCTGAATGTCTTATTTGCCTTTATTTGTCTAATGTTTTTCTTCCTTGAGAAGCTTCTCTCTTGAAAAGAAGTTTTTTGTCTACTATACAGTCTCAGGAATTCTTACAATATATATGAACTATTTTTGTTTTGAAGATCCCTGCATTAGAAAATACTTTGTCATTTTGTAGGTTCCTCTGTAACCTGCACTAGCACCTACACAGCTGAGCAAGAAAATCCAGGCATGAGTGTGATGGTGCAAGGGAGTGAGGTCGTGTTTTGGGTGCATGTTTAAAGAGGGAAAAAAATCTGTTTGATTTCCTCGGTAAGAGACAAACAGAGACAACAATTGTACAGGGTGCTTGGAAAGGAAACCAGGGAGAATACTGAAAAATGTTTGCTGTTTAATTAATTAAAATGTTGCTGTGACTTATTAATTATTAAATGAGTCACATTTAAATATCATGTCTTCACATGGAAGCTGCAAACAATTTTTATTACCAGCTCACTCTCAAAACTTTTTTTATTTTCAAGTATTTTGTTCGACACAAAGAAAATTTCTCTGTCTGGTTAAAAAACTGTTCCCTAATCTACCACTGATTTGATAAATTATGTGCTGAGATGCTTGCTTTGCTTTGTGTTTTTTCTCTTATCAGAAAAACACCCAAGGCAATGTCAATGCTATTTGTAAAGATCAGTCTCAAAAATATGAGAATTTTCATTGTGGTTCAGTTTGCATTTAACAGCTATTTCCAGCAGTGCAAACCTGAAAATTGCTCAAATCAATTGACAAGTTTTTTTAACCCAATTAAGTAGAAAATGTCGTTGCTTGGCCAGAGTGCAGGAATAACCCCTAAAAAAAAAAGCTCCCCCTTCTCACACCACCTCTCATTTCTAAATCCCCTCTCTTTATTAACACACACACAAAAAAAAAACAAAAAAAAAAAAAAGAAAAAAAAAGAAAAAAGAGAGAGAGAGAGAGAGAGAGAAAAAAGAGAAAATAAAATCGCCTTCCCCAGCAATGGATGGTGAGACCAGGAACATTTTGTCTTCTCAGAAGTAGGCCAGGGGTAATTCTCTGCAGATAAGAGCCAGTGTGATGGTTAAGGAGAAGATACAATAAAGGATGCTGACACACAATGCCGGAGGCCAGCTGCCAAGACTTCCAATGTCTCAGGCTACTAGGAAAAAGCAAAGGACTTCAGAAGTGCAACCCCAAATAACGAGCAGGGAACACGAGGGATTTACAGGGATGCACCCAGAACCAAAAGTGAGAGAAGTCCTACATTCTACCCTTGAAATACCTTACATGACAACCTTTACAATCCTCTTCATATGCTTTCCTTACAAAAACAAAACAGAAGGAACCAAACAAAGAAACCCCTAAACCACCCAGAAACGTTCCTGTGCCTTTAAAATTCATCACCGAGTAGATAAATTTTAAAGAGTAGATAAATTTATCAGAACAATCCTTACCTGGTGCATGTGGAATTCTAATGCCTGCGCTGCTCAGATCTCCCACCACTTTCTATCTTGTCTTTATCTCTAACCTCCGGTCTGTTTATGGAGCAAGGGAAGGAAACTTCTCCTCTCCTGGTGGGCTGGGAGCAGGTTTACCAAAAGCAAGCCTGAATCTCAAAGGTGAGAATGTGAGGGAGGTGCAAGGAGGATGCACCCCTGGGGCTGCAGCTGCATTCTTGTAGGAGCAGCTATTGTCAACTCCCTGTCCCTCCCAGGTTCCTGAGCAGTTTCAAGTGTAATAAAGCAGTCAGGGAGCTCTAACACCCAGCTGTCAAAGCTGCAGGGATTAAAGCACATTAATCGTCGTGCAGCCTTTATTCTCTGAAGAATGTACATCACGTTCAACAGGCCCGGAGAGATGACAACACTCCCCGCTCCCTTTGTATCACTTACAGTCAGATTCTGCTCTATCTTTGTTCATCTAGACTGGAAAATATGCACAATGCCCTCATCCTACCTAACCAAACACTTTTTTACCTCTCAAACGTGTTCATACTGCTCACACGACTTGCCACACTGGACTTTCAAAATCTATGGCTCCTGTGGACTCAGTCTGGTTGTTGATGTGGGACCAATGTCACGTTCACGAGAGGCATAGCAGATCTCAGAGCCCACCTCAAAATCCCTTTCAGTCTCTGCAAACTTGTACTGACAAGCTTAATTTTTGACAATGTCCACTTACCATTCCCCTCCTTCAGAGTATTTATTACCTCACCTGCATGCAAGCACAACAAAATAAAAATAGAAATAAAAGAGAATATGGAAGTGCCACAGTTTATTGTTTTGACTTGTAATTTTTATGTATCTACTGTATCATTATCCTTTTAATCTGTCTCATTTAAATTAAAACTTCTTGCTATCAAGTATTACTTTGTGTCTTCAGCATTCAATGTATCAAAATGCATGTCAGGCCCCTTTGTAACATACCTCATTTCATCTTGAATCTCAATTTATCCAGGCTAGAAAAGATGTTCCTTTATTGAAATAGCCCACTGACATTTTGCATGACAATTTTTTAGTAAGTACAATGTGGTAAAATATTAAATTTGATCTTAACTTGTTCATTTAATCCAAGGGAAAAAAATTCTGGCTGCTTTTTAATTAGAAACCAATTGAGGTTTTTGTCTTCTTACTTAATAAAAAAATTAGCCTAAACAATTCATTGCTATCCTTAAAAGTTTTAATTAATTTCTATGGTCATTTTATGAAACTCGATAATTAAGAAGGATTATGATAATTAAAACTGATTCTGATTTATGAGGAATGTCTGAAGGTTATTTCAGTATTCTTAGGCTTGGGATGGAAACCTCAATAATGAGTTTTTTCCTTTTCCTTTAAATAAAAGAATTGTAGGAATATGAAACCTATGGAGGAAAAAAAACAACAAAACAAACAAAAAAACCCTCACAAAACCACAACAGGCAGTGTCCAAATATTTGTAAGTTATACTGAAACTGAAACATCTGATTCATGAAGGCCAGATTTCCACGGTACTTAATTTATTGGGTGATAACTGATGCTTCAGCTGGCTCCACAATAGTTTAAGTAGCATATAATACATATTAGTGTATCTATACCTGTTAGACATTTTTCCTCTGCAAGTCTGCCTCTGATGTTTGTAAGTCATAAAGAATAGCATCCACTATTGTAACAGAGAAAATGTTAAACTAGCCGTTTTTCTGGGATTTCTAGCCACCAACTAGGTATTAACAGCTTCATTTTACTAACAGACTATTTGTAAAAATATCAAAATCTTTCTATCCACTTATAAAGCACCAGACAAAAAACAAAACAAAACAACACAAAAAAACCCCCAACAACAAAAAGCATAGCCCTGGCAAGTTCCAAATACTTTTCAACAGTAAATATATTCCTCTGAAGGTCTCTTCCTTTCCCCAAACAAGAAAATATGTTGAAATACCGTATCCTTAATAGTTAAAGATATGGTTAAGAGAGCCGAATCTTTATCCATATTCAAAGCTTAGCCATGAAATTGTGTTACTTCCTTGTCTTTGAAATCAATTTACGACGAAAATACTCAAGCTGTTCACTCGGTTTCTGCCCTAATCTGAAGAAAACCCCCCAAAGAGTAAGCCTGCATTACGGGGGAGACTTTTTATCTACGTGTTTTATTTTAATTTAGAAGGAAAAACAAAAGTTTGCCGTTCCCGGGGTCTTTCTGGCTTCACAACGCGGGGTTTAAAACAGCTTTTCTCTCCCATCTGCGGTCCAAACGGCAAGAAACTTGCCCGAATGAAAGTCCACCGTCTTCTCTTCACTCTCCGAAGAAACTGGGGTGATTTGGCAGCACTCGTTTTACGAAAAATATGAATTTATAACTCCGAAGAAACACAGACTCGGAGGAGGAAAAGCTCTTCCTGGCTAACAGTTAGGCGGGCTCTGCAAAGCACCAATCACAGATCACCGCTTCGCTATAAATTCAGGCATCGGGGTTACTGTAGCCCAATTACTTTCTTTTGATTAGGAAGAAGTCTCTGCAGCGATGTCGGAGACCGCTCCCGCCGCCGCTCCCGCCGTCGCGGCCCCCGCCGCCAAGGCCGCCGCCAAGAAGCCGAAGAAGGCGGCGAGCGGCTCCAAAGCCCGCAAGCCCGCGGGGCCCAGCGTCACCGAGCTGATCACCAAGGCCGTGTCCGCCTCCAAGGAGCGCAAGGGGCTCTCGCTCGCCGCGCTCAAGAAGGCGCTGGCCGCCGGCGGCTACGATGTGGAGAAGAACAACAGCCGCATCAAGCTGGGGCTCAAGAGCCTCGTCAGCAAGGGCACCCTGGTGCAGACCAAGGGCACCGGCGCCTCCGGCTCTTTCCGCCTCAGCAAGAAACCCGGGGAAGTGAAGGAGAAAGCCCCGAAGAAGAGAGCAGCCGCGGCCAAGCCCAAGAAGCCGGCGGCGAAAAAGCCCGCCAGCGCCGCCAAGAAGCCCAAGAAAGCGGCGGCGGTGAAAAAGAGCCCCAAGAAAGCCAAGAAGCCGGCGGCCGCCGCAGCCAAGAAAGCAGCGAAGAGCCCCAAGAAGGCGACAAAGGCTGCCAAGCCTAAAAAAGCGGCGGCAGCAGCCAAGAGCCCGGCTAAAGCGAAAGCGGTGAAGCCCAAAGCAGCCAAGCCCAAGGCGGCCAAGCCGAAAGCAGCCAAGGCGAAGAAGGCAGCGCCGAAGAAATGAAGTGTTGAAGTGGAAATACTTTTAAACCCAACGGCTCTTTTAAGAGCCACCCACTATTGTCCCCAAAAGGGCTGATACACTCCGTCACTGAGCTCCGTGCCTGCAGCAGAGCCAACTATTCGCCACTATCCGTGTGGGACGTTCATCTGTGGAGTGGATGGGACGCTAAACTTCCGGCCCTGGTTTTACACTAAGACTTGGAAAAATAAAAGTTTACATTCCCGGCGAAAACGCTTTCTAAAGGTTGCTTTTTCTTTTTTTTTTTCTTTTCTTTTTTTTTTTTTTTTTTTTGGAGCACCGCAAGTGGGTGTTTATGTTAAAGGGACTGCTAAGGGCGGGTACCTTTCTGGGGCGTGGAGGTTCCTTTCGTTGCTCTAAATCAGCGCGATTCCTAACAGCACGGATGCGACCGCCACACCTCTTAGTGACCGCAGCAGGGAACTGCTGTCAGCACGGTTCCTCCGCTTCCGTGGCAGTGACCTTTCCGCTTGCCAGCGCCGGCCTGGGGCAGGTCTCGATTTCTGCGTGATTTCACCGACCTACTTTCCCGAGGAGGCGCCTGTCGGGGCGGGAGGCGGGTTGGAGCCGGCAGCGTTCCTGTCCCGCTCCCTGCCGGGCCGGCGGCGGGACTCGGCTCCGCTCGGCTCGGCTGGGCCGGGCCGGGCCGGGCAGCAGCGCCGTGGGCGGGGGCGGAGCGGCTGCGCGCGGCTCGGCGCAACACCGGGGCCGCCTGTGATTGGCTGCTAGGAGGAGCCGCAGCCGCTCATTGGCCCGCGGGGAAATTTGGAAAAGCCCGCGCTGCTGGAGAAGGGGGAGGGGATGGGGGGAAAAGGGAGAAAGCGCGGGCAGCGCTCCGTGCCCCCCTCCCTATCTAGAGCCCACCCGTGCTCCCGGGGCCCGCGTTCAAGGAGATCTCAGCCCTCTAAAGCGTATGCCCCGTTTCAGGGGTGCTCTCCCTTCCCCCAGTCCTGTAGTCCTTGTCGACTCATACACAAGGCAAAATGTTTCAACGTAAGAAAATTATGAAACATCAATACTAAAGGTAAAGAGGACCGAGTATTTATCCCTCCGCCTTTTCATAGAAGTTATTAAACATTGTTTCTATCTTCGTGAAGCATGTTTGCTAATTTAACTGTGAAACTTTAATTTGCATACAACAAATTATAAAGTATTGTCTCTTATTTTTACTGTAAAAAAATAGTTTCCATTTATTGAAAAGCTGCTTAAAGGTTTACATTTAAGAAGAGTACATTTAAATTACTTCCAATTTGAAAAAATACTCAAGAACTTCGTAATTACTATTGCAAGATTAAGTAACTGACTAAACTTTTCCTTAAAATTGTATCTACTTTTTTTAGTTAGATTTCTATACCCACCAAGATCGAGACATTAGTGTATTAAAGCTCTTTTATGGAGTATGTGGGTGGCTCTTAAAAGAGCCTTTGGGTTGAGAGTGACGGTCCGAGGCGCCCTACTTGGAGCTGGTGTACTTGGTGACAGCCTTGGTGCCCTCGGACACGGCGTGCTTGGCCAGCTCGCCGGGCAGCAGCAGGCGCACGGCCGTCTGGATCTCGCGCGAGGTGATGGTGGAGCGCTTGTTGTAGTGCGCCAGGCGCGAGGCCTCGCCCGCGATGCGCTCGAAGATGTCGTTGACGAAGGAGTTCATGATGCCCATGGCCTTGGACGAGATACCCGTGTCGGGGTGCACCTGCTTCAGCACCTTGTACACGTAGATGGAGTAGCTCTCCTTGCGGCTCTTCTTGCGCTTCTTGTCGCCCTTCTTCTGCGTCTTGGTCACCGCCTTCTTGGAGCCCTTCTTGGGCGCGGGGGCGGACTTGGCCGGCTCGGGCATTTTGGCAGCGCTGCTCCACTCAGAGGAAGCTCAGCATACAAAATGGCCGCAGCGCCCGCTATTTATACAGACGTGTATGCAAATGTCCGGTATCAGCACTGCGCAATGCGATTGGCCCTTACCGTGCCGAGCGTGTCCCTGCCGGCGATTGGTCCCAACAGGATCCGTCCGCTGATTGGTTCTTTCGGCAGAGCCCGGTTCCAGCCAATGTCCGCGATCGCGTCCCGCCCAGGGAGAGGATAAAAGGGCCGCTCCGGTTGCGTCAGGAGGATTGTTCCGTTTTACTGCTTGCCCAGCCTCGCTTTGTCAGCGCTTCTAGCCACCATGTCCGGCCGCGGAAAACAGGGGGGCAAGGTCCGAGCCAAGGCCAAGTCGCGCTCGTCGCGGGCCGGGCTGCAGTTCCCCGTCGGCCGTGTCCATCGGCTTCTCCGGAAAGGTAACTACGCGGAGCGGGTGGGCGCAGGAGCTCCCGTCTACATGGCGGCCGTGCTGGAGTACCTGACGGCCGAGATCCTGGAGCTGGCGGGCAACGCGGCCCGCGACAACAAGAAGACGCGCATCATCCCCCGCCACCTGCAGCTCGCCATCCGCAACGACGAGGAGCTCAACAAGCTGCTGGGCAAGGTGACGATCGCGCAGGGCGGCGTGCTGCCCAACATCCAGGCTGTGCTGCTGCCCAAGAAGACGGAGAGTCACAAAGCCAAGAGCAAGTAAATTTGGCGAGCAAAGCCACTCAGACTTTGCACGACATAACATTTTAAACAAAAGGCTCTTTTCAGAGCCACCCACGTAGTCAGAAAAGAGTTGTTTTGCTTTCTTTAAAAAGGTGCTCTGGCGCTGAGTCTTTAATAGTACTCAATTTAACTCAAACTTGTGTTTCAGTCTTTTAAAACTTTGTTTCTACTGAAGAGGGCTGATATATTTGCTTTCTAACCCATGTTTCTAAATCAATGTTAAAATTTTGTAATTGTTTCATTTGTTCATTGTTACATTCAGTAAAGAACTTCAGGATTCTGCTCGCCTTTCACGGTTCCACAGCTTACTTAGGGTGTAGAACGCAGCATGGTGACTACAGCACGGGTGGGAGTGGCAAATGCTGTGCAGCATGAAGATAAATAGGGGACTGTCGTAAAGCCCAGATGTAGCTACATCTAACCACGAAAAAAGGCTTTCTTCATTCCCTTTGAAGGCCTTTGTTCTTTAAAAGATGCTAAGTTCCCTATGTGTTAAATGTAATTCCTATATATAAATATATTACATATACGTTAAATATATGTATTATATTGTAACATATATGTTAAATGTATATAATATAAAATGAGGAATGCCTTAGCAAAAATGGCATTTGATCTACACCTCTACCTAGTCAGACCTGCCCTCTAAAGAAACAGTGTAACACTTCCATTCAGGAGAACCTTATAGTGGTAGTATACTTCCATTTTAAGGGGCATTTTCAAACTTTCCACTCATAAATTCTTTCACTGTTTATTGCTGCTACTCTTGTTGCATCAATTAACAGTGGGCAATATTGAGTTTTCTATATTGTTGGCACAAATATCACCCCAGAGCGCAACCTTAAATCTCTTCATATTCATTATTATAAATTATGAGGAAAACTGTATGGCTGATTCTTCTTGCCAGGACCTTCCCAGAAGCCTCATCTGATGGTCTGTAGCACACTGCACTGAGGTGATTGCTCTCATCTTTGCTGCACCTCTGCTACTTCCATCCCCTGGAGAGGAGGAGGAGTGCACTGGGCTTGGGGGAAGGCGATTCTCCCACTGTGCCTCCTCGTTGTCCCCAAGCTGCAGCTGAGAGGTTTTTTAGGCAGCATTGTGCCATGGCCAAAGCAGGGCATCAGGGATCATTTGTGGAGAGAAACATAAAGAAGAGAGCTGCTGGAGCACCAGACTAATCTGGTATCCACAGATGGTATCTGTGTCTAAAGATTTTGTTTTTAAGTGGACACGTTTAGGGTTGAAGTGGTTTTAGTATGCTGTTTTATTGATCATTTGCTACAGCTAAATATCTCCTGGCCCTTACACTTCTTTAAAAACTGCAATGGTAATTAAAATTTCATTTTAACACGCATGAGCCTTCTACACTTAGTTTCCAGAGGAGACTTCTGCACACATGTTTGTCAGAAAATTTCAATCCCAGAATGGTTTGGGTTGGAAGGGACCATTAAAGGTTATCTCATCCAAACCCCTGCTTGTGGGCAGGGTCACCTTTCACCAGCCCAGGCTATTCAAAGCCCCATCCTGCCTGACTCTGGGGATGGCATCCTCTAGGGACAGGGCATCCCCATTTTCCCTGGACAGCCTTGTTCAGCGTCCCACAAGCCTCCTTGCAAAAAAATCCTTACTTATGTGCACTCTAAATGTGGCCTCTTTCAGTTTAAAATCATTGTCATTCTTCCTGTCCCTACAGGCCTGAAAAGAAGCCTTTCTGTATTGAAAGACTGGTGTAGGGTTTCCTCAGAACCTGATTTTTCACTGGCCAGACAACCACAGCTCTCTCAGCCTTTCTTCATGGGAGACATGACTTAGCCCTCTGATAATTTCTGTGGCCCTCTCTGGACATGCTCTGACAAATTCCTGTCTTTTCTTCTGCCAGAGGATCACAGAGCTGCGTGCAGCGCTCCAGGTGGGGGCTCAGGAGAGCTGAGTAGAACAGGAGAATCACCTGCCTCCACCTTCAGTTTGGGCTGCTTTTGCTGCAGCCCTCGTTAGGATGGGCTTTTGGGCCTCAAGTGTGTATCTCTAAGTCAAAGCACTGGGATTACAGGAATAAAAAAGGCTGTAGGGTAGAGATATGAATTGGCTTTCTCTGTGGACAAACTCCTGTATGTGGAGGTGAGAGCTGGCAGCACAAGAGAGGGCCCCATCCTCTGAGTGTGGAGCTAAGCCCAGTGTATCCCTCCAAATTCTTCCTGTTGTCTGACCAGGAATTCGTTATTTGCTTCAGAATTTCATTCCAAACACTTATTTACACTCATTTGTCTTCTCAGCTCAGTACCTGGAGTTTTATCCTCTGTGATGCTCAGATCCATCCCTGAACACTCCCTGGGTTTGTCTTTGCCAGCAGTGGCTCCACCAGTGATGAGGTCTCCAGTGTAAAAATCAAGTAAATCAGATGGGTTAAATGGTAGGAGAGCTGGAAAATCTCCTGGTGTTATAGACAGCTTTCAGGCAAATTCCAGTGGATGAAGGAATGCAGCTAAGCAAGTTTAAATAAATGAATTTATCTCATTTGCATATGCAATAAGCAGTAGGAAAGAGGACATCCGTATCACATGGTACCTTAGCTGCATCATTGGGTTGCAATGCACCTTCACATTCTAAAGAGTCTGGTAAAAAAATAAAAATCTGAAGCCCAACCAAGGTTACTTAAATGCTATGGATCACAGTTATGTTTGGGGATAACTCAGTGATGTCAGTCTGGATCAAAAGACTTAAAACTGCATGGTGAAATATTCAAAGAGCTTTTCTAGCCCTTTTCATCTACATTGCTTGCAATGCTAGGAAAAATGTACCTATTAAGCAGCTCTTACATTATTTTAGTGTGCATATTATTGCACCTATTATGGCAGTTGCAGCAGATACAGATATGGATTTAAATTGCCACTAAAGCTCTCAAGAAAATTATTAGCAGCTTTGAAGTTGGTTATAATCCACTGATGCAATGACTTTTTTTAATAATTATGTACCCTCTTGTGCAGTCATGGTGAGATGTTGCCTTATTGTAATAAACAAATGCAATTTCCTCATTATATTTTAATGAGGAGCTAGGGCAACTGTCCTAATTAATGCACGCTTGAAAAGCTAAAGATTTTTAATTTTTTTTTACCAAGCTGAGTTTTGAAAAGGTTTCCTTTCTCATTTAACCCCTGGTGCCATGTGCCCAAATTCATGAGGAAAATATTGATCTATAACATGTGGATTGGACACTAAACTTTGATTAAAAAAAAATTATCTCAAATAAACAGTAGAAATAACTTTATTAGGAATTTTGTCGAGCAGCAAAATTTTCTTTTTTCTCTTTTAAAATTATTTTTGCCTAAGAAAATGCTCTGATCCATAAAAGAACTGAATATCTCCCTAACAGACACACCTGTGAAACGAGTCTGTGCACACTTGCAGCAACACGTAGGCAAGGCAGCCTTCCAGAAGGCATGGTGTTACATTGTATCTAATGTGCTACACTTACTGAGGAAAGGGGTTTGCAGCTGTTTTATGTACTTTAGACTGCTGGTCTCAGCCTCTCCACCACCCATCTCTGGCAGAAATGAACGGGGATTTTCCAAGTCTTGCAATGGTTATACTGCTGGAAGGAAAAGTTATGCTGGGATCCTCACTCTGCATTTAGGAAGCCTTAGGAATAAATTATTATTTTGACATACCAAAAGATTTTGCATAATTTCTTTCAGGTTTCTTAAGTAATCAGAAAGCTGTTTCTAATTGCCTCGGGAAACATAGCTAGGCACAGATTTTCAGATATAAAGAACAAAGCAGACTTAGTGGAGCCAAACGGGAATGTTGGGCACTAGCCTGGCAGGGCCACTACTGACAAATCTCCCAGTTAGTCTATAAAGGGTCTAACTTCATTCTGCTGAGCCAAAAAAGCAAACCTAATCCCAATTAAAGATATATTTTCCTCCTTATACTGTATATATCAGTAGCAATTCTTTAAATTTGAAAGAATAAGGAACTCATGGTGATACTTATAAAAAGATTTGTACCTTTTTGTCACCTGTAACTGAATGCATGACTATCTCAATTGCATTTCCCCCTGAATTTAGGGAATATTTGATTCCCAGAAATATTTTGGAGACATTGCTGAGGTTCTCTACATTATGTTAAGGAATAAACTTAAATAAATAACTGCACCATTTTTAAGGACATGAAAAATTTTATAGCAGTAGGCATGTTTAAAGGACATAAAATACTAAAAATGTAATAATTGGCAAGCACCTTGGGCATATCAGTTCTGTGCGAGTAATATTTAAAATCTTTACAGACTTAATTTAGAAATACAGTCTCATGACTGTAATATTTTAAATCTTAAGATTTAATTTAGAAATACAGTCTCATAACTCTCTCGGTATTTATTCATTCACTTCACAAATACAGTCCAACATACAGTCAGCAGCATGTATGACGTGTTTTCTGCAAAAGCCTGAAACACATGGGAAAAAAAAATCCGGATTCCACATTGAAATTAAAATTGTTTGGCTAGTGTTCATCCTTCAGATGTCATACAGACAGTTGTTTGTGATGTCCGTAATGCTTTCTTTCGCTCGCGGGGTCTCGGTGTACGGCAGAGAATGCTCCTTCCCGAGCCGGCGGCTGCCGGGGCGAGCGCGGAGCCTGCGGCCAGGGCTGCGGGGGCTGGGCAGGGCAGGAAGGACGGTCCCTCCCTCAAGCAGCCCCTCCGAGCTGCCTCCGGGCAATCCCTGCTCTAAACGCTCCCGCTGCAGCCCCTCGCTGACCCTTCCTCCAGAGGCCGGCCAGGGGCTCGCTCCCGGCTCCCCTCGCACCTCCGCGCCCAGCCCCGCACGGAGCAGGGGCCGGCTGTGGGAGTGTCCGGGGAGACAAAACAACCGGGAAGCCGCCATGGCCGAGCCGAACAAAGACAGCGCGGCCCGGGAAGGCGGCTCCGTGGGGCTCCCCGCGAGCGGGAGGCGGAGGAGCGGCGGGGGGAGGCGGGAGCGCCGGGCGAGGCCCCGCATTGGTCGGATTTTGCCGCAGACCCGCGGGGAGGGACGGGGAAGGGGCGCCGCAGCCCGAAACGCGGGCCGGGGAGGGCAGGCCCCGCTCCTGCTGCTGAGGGAGAGGCAGAGGTGCCGTGGAACTGCCAGCAGCGCAGGGGGGAGCGCAGCGGGACGGGAGAGCAGCAGAGGGACGCGGGGGCTGCCGGCGGGCAGAGACAATGAAGTGCGGCCCGACATTGACTCGGCTCGTTAGAGCTCCGTGCTAAAAAGGGGAATATTGTACGTTCAATCCCTTCATGAGCCAGCCACTTAAGAGTCGGGCAGGATGATCTTTGTGGGTCCCTTCCCCTCTCAGAGTATTCCGTGATTCCCGGGCTGCCGAAAGCACGGGACGAGGCCAGGCCCGCTCAGGAGAGGCGGAGCCGCGCGCGGCCGAGGGACGCGGCCCCCAAAGCGCCGCGGCCGCGTCTCGCGGCGGGCACGAGCGGAGCCGCGCGGGGACGGGGGGAGAAGAGCGGCGCGGGGCGGGGACTGGGCAGCAGACCACGCCTCCCTCTGCAGTCCTCAGCCAGGTCGGACCGCCGCCCATATAGAGCCGCGCGGGGCCTTCCCTAGCTCATTGCTCTCGCTGTTGTGAGCGTGTGACCATGTCTGGCCGGGGCAAGGGCGGCAAGGGGCTCGGCAAGGGCGGCGCCAAGCGGCACCGCAAGGTGCTGCGCGACAACATCCAGGGCATCACCAAGCCGGCTATCCGCCGCCTGGCTCGGCGCGGCGGCGTCAAGCGCATCTCGGGGCTGATCTACGAGGAGACGCGCGGCGTGCTCAAGGTCTTCCTGGAGAACGTGATCCGCGACGCCGTCACCTACACAGAGCACGCCAAGAGGAAGACGGTCACGGCCATGGACGTGGTCTACGCCCTCAAGCGCCAGGGTCGCACTCTCTACGGCTTCGGCGGCTAAACTCGCTTCCTGCAATAGCTTAGCGCTCCTACAACACAAAGGCTCTTTTCAGAGCCACCCACACATCTCAGAAAAAGAGCTTCAAATCGCTTCCTTAATAGCGTTGCGTTAGTGTTGGGGTTGGAGGGAACGGGGGGATGCGGTTTTGTTCTCGGCTTCTCAAATTCCCATATTTGTTTAGCCTACTTGTCTGCTGTCTTGGGGGCAAAGTCTACGTACTATTCGAGTAGGCGGGAATATTCTGATCGTTACTCGGGGAATGAAACGAGCGCCCAATGGGTCTAGTGCTTGACTGAGGGCTCTCACTGCGGTAGGAAACTACCTTCTGCAACTTACATCCTTTTATTTCCCCCATTCTCTTACACGCCGACCACCACCCGCTCAACCCGCTCCCTCTTTCCAAAGGACAAGGGAAGCGACACACAGCCGAGAAAAAACTAAGTCGGGGCAAGGTCGGGGCCAGCCGCTGTTCCCATAGCCGCTGGCACGGCACCGCTTTTACCGCCACAGCCTGCAAGGGCAAGGCAGGGAGCTCCTGAAATGGCGGCGCTCGTCTCTCTGCCATTCGGTGGGCGGGACGGAGCGGGAAGAAGAAACAGCCAAGAGCACCCCTTAGCGCCCTCCGGACTGCGCACCAAAGACGGGGCTGCGAGCCCCGTGCTCTAAAGCCCCCCCGCCCCGCTCCTGAGCCTGCCCCTTCTCTGGGCACCGCTCTCGCCTACACCCAGCACACCACAGCCCCTTTCACAACCCTCTCAGCCCCGCCGCCTTTAGACGGTCAACCCCACCATGACCGGGGGTTGACCCCGGGAAACACACGGGGCACAAGGGGAGGGCAGGGATGGACACTACGGAATGCTCCCACTCCCCCAGTTACCCCTGAATTGCCACTACACCCTGAGCAATAGAAAGCGCTTGGCACGGGCTGCCCCTGCCCGCACCGTAACACAGAGACAACAGCTCTCTCCAGTGGCCTTGTGGTGGCTCTTAAAAGAGCCTTTCAGTTGGAGGGAGAAGGGCAGGGAGCTCAGGCGCGCTCTCCGCGGATGCGGCGGGCCAGCTGGATGTCCTTGGGCATGATGGTGACGCGCTTGGCGTGGATGGCGCACAGGTTGGTGTCCTCGAAGAGCCCCACCAGGTAGGCCTCGCTGGCCTCCTGCAGCGCCATGACGGCCGAGCTCTGGAAGCGCAGGTCGGTCTTGAAGTCCTGCGCGATCTCGCGCACCAGCCGCTGGAAGGGCAGCTTGCGGATCAGCAGCTCCGTGGACTTCTGGTAGCGCCGGATCTCGCGCAGCGCCACCGTGCCGGGCCGGTAGCGGTGCGGCTTCTTGACGCCGCCCGTGGCCGGCGCGCTCTTGCGGGCAGCCTTGGTGGCCAGCTGCTTGCGGGGCGCCTTGCCGCCCGTCGACTTCCGCGCCGTCTGCTTCGTGCGCGCCATCACTGCAACGCTCAGAGATCAGTCTGAAACGATCACAAATCGCTTTCCTGCCTTTTTTATAGAGCACGGCGGCCCCGCCTCCCCGCCTTGATTGGTCAAACAGCGGGGAATTTAATTGGGTTACAACTGAAGCCGCTCCGAGCCTCAGAAGTTCCTAACAAATCTTGTATTGTTTCCTTTTTGCTGGAAAAGCATTGACATCTATCGCTGGTATACTTGCCTTATGTCTTTTTCTAGTATTTTTTCCTGACTTTTTTTTTCCGAATAGTACTTACGGCTTTGCATTTTAAAAAATGTAGGTATTTGTAAAGCTTTACCTGAAGAGAACTACAATCCCCCCAAACCACACACCAAACAAAACAAACTTATAAGCAAGTAAACGAAATAGAAAATCCTCCCCAAACAAAAATTTAAAAACCCAAGCAAACAAACATAAAAAATAATCAGAACGAAAAAAAATCCACCAGGAGAGTATTAGATTCAGAATGCATGCAAAGCCCCTGATTCCTTTGTTACTACTTGCAAAGGAAGATGGGATGACAAAATGTAAGCAATCAGTTTAAATAGAGAATAAAATATGAGTAAGGAAACCTGATCACAAACAAGGTTTTGGCAATTGTTGGGAAAGAGGTATTTTATCTTTACCCACTTGTAGTGGCAGAATAATTTAATTAATTAAAGGAAGTGGTTAAAAAGCACCATGCCGGCTCGGAAGAAAGGGAAGACTATGGAAAAAGGCAGTTTTGGGTTTGGTATTTGAGAGCAAGGCGCAGCACAGGAAGGGGTTAACGCGGGATTTTCAAACCTTCCCCCTGAGCGCGGCTGTTTCCATCGCCCAATCAACAGGCAGCGCTCGGATATAAATACGAGCTGGGAGCGCTCCTTTCATTCATTGTCGGATTCTCTGCCACTCTTGGTGCGCAGTGTCGAATCGGCAGCGATGGCGCGCACGAAGCAGACGGCGCGGAAGTCGACGGGCGGCAAGGCGCCCCGCAAGCAGCTGGCCACCAAGGCTGCCCGCAAGAGCGCGCCGGCCACGGGCGGCGTCAAGAAGCCGCACCGCTACCGGCCCGGCACGGTGGCGCTGCGCGAGATCCGGCGCTACCAGAAGTCCACGGAGCTGCTGATCCGCAAGCTGCCCTTCCAGCGGCTGGTGCGCGAGATCGCGCAGGACTTCAAGACCGACCTGCGCTTCCAGAGCTCGGCCGTCATGGCGCTGCAGGAGGCCAGCGAGGCCTACCTGGTGGGGCTCTTCGAGGACACCAACCTGTGCGCCATCCACGCCAAGCGCGTCACCATCATGCCCAAGGACATCCAGCTGGCCCGCCGCATCCGCGGAGAGCGCGCCTGAGCTCCCTGCCCTTCTCCCTCCAACTGAAAGGCTCTTTTAAGAGCCACCACAAGGCCACTGGAGAGAGCTGTTGTCTCTGTGTTAACGGTGCAGCCAGGGGCAGCCCGTGCCAAGCGCTTTTTATTGCTCAGGGTGTAGTGGCAGTTAAGGGGTAACTGGGGGAGTAGGAGCATGCCGTAGTGTCGTGCCCTGCCCTGCCCTTGTGCCCCGTGTGTTTCGATCATGGTGGGGTTGACCGTCTAAAGGCGGCGGGGCTGAGAGGTTTGTGAGGGGCTGTGCTGTGCTGGGTGTAGACGAGAGCGGTGCCCAGAGAAGGGGCGGGCTCAGGAGCGGGGCGGGGGGGCTTTAGAGCACGGGGCTCGCAGCCCCGTCTTTGGTGCGCAGTCCGGAGGGCGCTAAGGGGTGCTCTTGGCTGTTTCTTCTTCCCGCTCCGTCCCGCCCACCGAATGGCAGAGAGACGAGCGCCGCCATTTCAGGAGCTCCCTCCCTTGCAGGCTGTGGCGGTAAAAGCGGTGCCGCGCCAGCGGCTATGGGAACAGCGGCTGGCCCCGACCTTGCCCCGACTTAGTTTTTTCTCGGCTGTGTGTCGCTTCCCTTGTCCTTTGGAAAGAGGGAGCGGGTTGAGCGGGTGGTGGTCGGCGTGTAAGAGAATGGGGGAAATAAAAGGATGTAAGTTGCAGAAGGTAGTTTCCTACCGCAGTGAGAGCCCTCAGTCAAGCACTAGACCCATTGGGCGCTCGTTTCGTTCCCTGAGTAACGATCAGGATATTCCCGCCTACTCGAAGAGGTGAGTTTGCTCCCAAGACAGCAAACGAGTAGACCAAGCAATTGTGGGAATTGGAGAAGCCGAGAAAAACAAAACCGCATTCCCCCGTTCCCTCTAACCCCAACACTAACGTAACACTATTGAAGGAGTGATTTGAAGCTCTTTTGCTGAGATTTGTGGGTGGCTCTGAAAAGAGCCTTTGTGTTGTAGAAGCGCTAGGCTATTACAGGAAGCGAGTTTAGCCGCCGAAGCCGTAGAGAGTGCGACCCTGGCGCTTGAGGGCGTAGACCACGTCCATGGCCGTGACCGTCTTCCTCTTGGCGTGCTCCGTGTAGGTGACGGCGTCGCGGATCACGTTCTCCAAGAACACTTTGAGCACGCCGCGCGTCTCCTCGTAGATCAGCCCCGAGATGCGCTTGACGCCGCCGCGCCGAGCCAGGCGGCGGATGGCCGGCTTGGTGATGCCCTGGATGTTGTCGCGCAGCACCTTGCGGTGCCGCTTGGCGCCGCCCTTGCCGAGCCCCTTGCCGCCCTTGCCTCGGCCAGACATGGTCACACGCTCACAGCAGCGAGAGCAATGCGCTGGGGAAGGCCCCGCGCGGCTCTATATGGGCGGCGGTCCGACCTGGTTGAGGACTGCAGAGGGGCCGAGCCGGGCTCTGTGCGCGCCCCTCCCCCCGCGGGCCGGGCCTTTGCCGCCATCGCTCCCAGCTCGGGCCCGGCCCCGCCCCCGGAGCCCGAACCCGCCCCCGGAGCCCGAACCCGGCGGGGCCCGGAGCGGATCCCGGCCGGGCTCTCCCCGTGCCCGCCGCGCTCCGCCCGAGGGCTCTCGGTGCCGGTACGGAGCGGGGCCCCGCCGCCCGCGGGGCTGCAGCTCAGCCCGGCCAATGGCGGCAGAGCCGCGTCCCGCCCGCGCTGCGCCGCCGCCAGCGAGCCGTGCCCGAAAAAGGGCCCGGCCGGGCAGGGGAGAGAGTGGGCGCTGCGGTACCGCTTCTACGGTAAATGAACCCTTTTCTGCCGAAGACTGGGTAATGTGCTGCAATTTTTCTTTTTTTTCCCCTTTGAGTGAGACTTTTTTTTTTTTTTTGGTGCCCTGTAAGGAAGCCTTGCGAGTCCCACATCTCTGACTTAATAATCACGTGGCTTTGTTGTGTTTATGGGACCGACGAGCTAATGAAGGAACTGATTTGCCTCTTACTGAGGTACCCATGAAAAAAATCTGCTTCATGTCTGTGCTTTTAAAAATGTTTTAAGTGTTGGATAATTGTCATGGTCCTATTCTTTATTGAAACATAATAAAGCATTACTTTTTAAATTTCCTTCTTCACAATTTATTACTTTTTGAACACAAAAAGTGGTCTGGAGGTGTTATTTTTTGCTGGGTTGTCTGTTGGCTGCATGAGTCCATTCTGCTAAAATGACTCCTAAAAGGCTTCAAGCTTTGCATGTACACACCTACTTTTACTTTTTCTGAGTTATTATTTAAATTTACTATGAATATATATTTGAGGTATTTTTACTTTGTTCTGGGAGGATTGTCAAATAAATGCTATCCCATACAGTGGCTATATACCATCTTTCTTGGCAGGGGTTATCCTGTGGGAATTATACCTTTGTGCAGTGCACAGGTTTGTGGGTTTTTCACTGGTCAGCTATTTCTCAACTTGTTTGATCGTCCCCCTCTTTTCCCTATTTCCAATGGGTGCCTATTACTAAACAATGCTTCTTGAATGTGAAAAGGTTTTGCTTGGTAATTTTGCACATTTTTGCATTTGAGCCATCACTATTTTGTTGGTTTTGTTTGTCCTTTTTCACCACCTTTTCTCAAAAGTTTTCTTTCTCAGGAGAGATGACAATGGGGACTTTTCTCTCTCTGTAGACCTTTTGTATGTATGTTATTTAATACAGGTTATGCTTGGCCACCACCCTGATATGTATTTTCATTTACAGATAGCCAGACAGTGTTTACATCTCTTTATACCGATTAATATAAAATTATTTGTTCTACAGATATAGGAAATACATATTTATCCTTGAATATCAACATTGATGATGCTTGTAGGACAGATGAAACTCTTCCAGTTGTCGTGGAAGCAAGCAAGAGCCGTGCAGGCACTCGCTCATTCCTCCACCAGTGGGACTGGGGAGAGAATCAAAAGAGTAAAAGCAAGAAAACTCATAGGTTGACAGTTTAATAGGGAAAGCAAAAGCTGCACTCACACACAAGAAAACCAAACCAAACCAAAGAATTAATTGACACTTCCCATGGGCAGGCAGGTGTTCAGCTGTCTCTGGGAGAGCACTGATCACTGAAATGCTTATTTGAGAAGATAAATGCCATCACTTCAAATGCCTCGCCCTTCCTTCTTCCTCCCCCCAGCTTTACATTCTGAGCATCAAATGATAAGGTCTGGAACATCCCTTTTGGCAGCTGGCATTACCTGTCCTGGCTGTGTCTTGTTACAATCTCCCAGGCATCCTCAACTCCCTCACCCGTTGTGGCAGCACCAAAAGCACAAAAGGCCTTGGCTCTGTGTGAGCCCTGCTCAGCAACAACAGAATCATCACTATATTATCATCCTGGTGCTCAGCACAAATGCTAAACACAGCCCCATACAAACCACTGCAAAGAAAATTAACTCCAACCCAGCCAAAACCAACACATTTAGAATCACTGTCTTTGCACAGTATTTATCATTACACTTACTAAAGGAAAAAACCCCAAGTATTTATACACACTTTCCCATGCTGTCACTGCATTTATGGGTTACAACATAGATAGAACTCAGTAAAACTTCTCCATAACTATAAAACATACTCTTCCCTGGCTATTCTTGCTCTCAGTATTTGATATCACATACCTTTTCCTTGGCAGTGGTGTGCCTTTCTCTCTATTTATCTATATTCAGATGACCTATTTTGGTCTCTTCAGGACTCCTGTAAGAATTACTTTTCCCTTTTCATGTGGCACATTTGGTTTTTAATCAGTTTTTTTTTGGTACATCTTCTCTGTAGCTTTTCTTTAATTTCATTTCAAATGTATAGGTGCTGATATTCTTGCAAATTATTCAAATAAAAATTTAATTTTATTTATGTGGTTTAATGAGCATAGTTATTCTGCCTTGCAAAATGCCCAGTTCACCTCCCTTGCCCAGTGTTAATTGGCATTTTGTTTAAAGTTGCAATCTCTTTTAGAATCCATTTCTTGATGCTTTTTAGTTCACTAGATCTCTTTGTGTGGTGCTTATTGTGCAGTTAATATTTATATTAATATTAATAAGCCTTTGCTTACTTTGAAGTCATATTTTCTTGATCTTCTCTGTACTAGACCACCTTAAATAATCAACTTTTTATCATTATCCAGGGACCATTACTTTCTAAGCATTCTTAAGAAAAACTCTGAAGAACTACAACAGCTATTAGTGTAATTTGTTCCTAAGCAATACCTTAGTTTCAAATGAATAAACTCCACAGATTATTGAGTAATTTTTTATTATTGCAAATTTTACATAGAATCCTTGTGGATATGACAGCAATATAAAAGTACATAGAATAGATTCATGCATTACAGTGTGCTTGGGTTATTTGAGGAAATATTCTATATTTCAAGGTTGTCTATGCAATGCTTACCCAAATTTATCTTTTCCACACCACGTAGCTTAATTTTCTTGGTTTTATTTTAACATACTTTATTTGTGTGTTACTTTTCTAAACTTCTTGCCAGCATCTGTGGGTATAAAGTCTGTGAAGTATTGAAGTATTAGGACACTTCTGAAGATACACAAAATTAAACCAAAAGGAGGAGCAAATAACCTGCTGACAGGAACTCAAACATTTTAATGTTATGAAAAAGAAAAAAGGAGTTCTAAGTAATGTGAATTCACTGAATTCTGAAATATCACTTCATTTCCTGTATGACATCTTTTACTTTATGGCCAGTCTCATGTTTAATGGCCAGTGTTCATCCTTCACTCCTGGTGTTCCATCAACATGGATTATTTTTTTAGTCAAAACCAACAGGTGAGTATATGCACTACGAATTTCTATCTATCTATCTATCTATCTATCTATCTATCTATCTATCTATCTATCTATCTAATCTTTTCTTGTTAATCAGGACAATAGGAGAAGAGCACAGGCTCTTTTCCTGATCAGGCAGCGCGAGTTGGAGGAGCCTGAGTTGTGTCCCGTGCTGTGGGCAGGCAGGCAGGGCACGCTGCAGTGCAGGGCAGGTTGGGGATGGCAGGAATTGCTGAGAGAGTGACTCCACTCCTTTGCTCACTCTAGGAGTGTCAGCAATTCAGCACTTCTCTTCCCCTCTGCATCTGCTTTCAATCTCTCATCCTGACATTCCTCCCAACACTCCTGTCCATCCCAAAAGACAACCATCCCCTTGAGGAGGCTGTTGAAACAATGTGATTTTCAAATTTGTTTTCTCTTTAATGATCTGCTTTTCTTTTCAGGAAAGCTGTTAGCTGAGCTGAAGGAGTTACTGATCTCTCAGTGGATCAGCCAGCACATGTAGTTTCACCTCCTTAGGAGAATTAATATTAACTTAGAAAGTCTCTGTGGTATGTTTTTTAAATCAGCTAAAAGTATCCTGATGGAAATACTGAAAATCAGAGATACAGATTTGGTTCATCCCCTAAAGCAAAAGCTTATGATAGTGCTACTTTATTTAGATGAAACATTTCTGAGGGAAAGGAATAATCTTTTTTTGCATCATCTTCCTAGGGAGATGAGCATCCCAGAGCACTATCATATGAAATGTACAAGCCCAGCTAAAAATAGAGATGGATTTTTGCTGAGAGTGATGATCAACACGACTAGATATTACAGAACTTGTCTATTTCCACTGAGAAGAAAATATTTTTGAAAGCTGCAGCACAAGCAAAATTAAGGCTTTGTGCACCCTACTGCCATGGAGACTCCAAGCTGGCAATCCCTGCACAGCCCCTGTGGTTAACCCCACACAATAAAGGAGAATCACACCTTTTACACCTCAGTGTGCCTGAATTGCTGCCAGACTCTCTGAAGCTTGGTCAGCTCCGTCCTAATTTTCCTTCTCATTCACCTGGGCTAATGTGATGAGCCTGGGTCAGGGACTGTGGGAGCTCAGCACATCCCTCCAGATGTCCAGAGTTGCTGAGAACCCTCTTGGGGGGCTCGGAAGTCCTGGAATGTTGCCAGGAGTACCTGATGGCTTGACTTTGATCTTTCTAGAGATTTGCCACCTGTGTATGAGGACATGAGAGCCACACAAGTTTGAATGGTGCAGGAATGATGTATTTACAGGGTGAAAATATAGATTTTGGGGTTTTTGGTATAGGGGCTATGGAGACAAGATGGAGGAATCAGGGCATGTCTTGTCCTTCTTTCTTCTTCTTGTCATCCATTTTCTGCTGTGATGTTGGCACTTGGGGATTGGTTTAGAGTAAAAGTGCACTGTCTAACACAGGTGATGGGAATTGGGAATTAAAAGTAAATATGATATATGTAGTTTGTAGTATATAAAGATGACACCGCCTCAGGGGCAGTCAGAGTGCCTTTGGCTGCCTTGCTGTTCAGATCTCGGCTGGGCAGAAAGAAAATTTTGTAGATAAGAAATAATAAACAACCTGAAGACTGAAAAGTGAAGAGTCCAGACTCATTCTTTGGAGCGTGGGCTGCCTCAGAACCATCCCACGCATCTCGGGGCAGAGACAGACAGCCGACCTGAGAAGGGACTGAGTGCCCCGTGGGTCTGTCTGTCTGTCTGTCTGCCCAGGGCACAGAGGATTTCCTCCTGGCTGTGCCTCAGGCTACCCCGGTTACCTGCAGGTGTGTGCCCAAGGCCAGAGCTGATACACCCAGAGCTGCACTCCTCCAGCTGGAAGCTGGACACCAGCATGGATCATGGCAGCTCCTGTCCACCCACAGTGGAGTCCATCTCTGACAGAGCATTAAAATTTACATTTAAATAATACATGTGGGTTTTACCTATGGTGCTTACATATTACAAGGCAATAACATTTTTCACTCTTGTTCATTTTTCTATGTAGGTATAGTAATTAAATATTGATCTTATTAACACTATCCACTGCTCATTCTATTCTGTATGAACTCCTTGTGGCTACAAGGTCCTTTGGCAATCAGCAGTCTATACACACACTGGGAATTAGAAACTAATGGGAACTTCACTGCCTTTAGACAGGGACTTGGACTTCTGGATCATAATGGTTTGGGTGATCAAATGGCAAATCCAACCATCCTTTTGGTGAAGAACAAAATAAACCTTTGTTTTCCTGATGTGCAACAGGGAACTTGCCATGACCTGTATAGCATTAATATCTTGGGCTCTCCAGGTGTTTTGGGTGTCATTAAATAACAATAGACTTCAGAATTTTCATTTATTTACTTTTTTCCAACTATAGTTTCCAATTTCACGGCCTGTCCTCCCCTTGTGCCTGATTCCTAACTCACTCTTCAGAGCTGTCTCACCACCATTTTCCACCTTTACTGCACCTTCCAGTTTGATCCTAATAAAAAAAATCCTCCCATATTTGAGAACCACAAATAAATTAAACAAATGTGTTCAATGCTCAGAAGCACTACAATGAGAGTTACTTGAATGTCTAGAATCAGCAGAAAAGGAAAAGAGAATAAAACAGAATTTTTTATCTTTGTACCATTGTAGCATTGTGTGAAATAGTTTCACCCAGCACAGTGTGCACATTTCTGGCCTCTAAATAAATAAACTATTGTAAGAGGTAAAGAAATTTCTGAGAAAAGTGATAAAGCTGATTCAATGCTTAAAATGGCTTTTCTACTAAGCATACTAGGACACCTTCAGAACAATCACCACTGACTGAAGATGTTCTTGCTTATGTTTACTACCTAGGAGGTCAATGGTTAAATCTATCAAACTTAGTGAAGTCTAATCTAATCATAAACTTAGTTACAACCAAAGGGTTACTGATATCAGAAAAGCTGTCTAAATTTCATAGGAGGGTTTTTTTTTAAAAAAGTAAATAGATCCTTACTCTATAGGCTTTTTTCAAATCAGAGAGAAGTGAGAAAGACGATGTGTGGAAAGAAGAAATTGGTGCCATCTCTCTCCTCACAGAAATCAATTCTGCATTACACAGCTGCTTGCACAAGCCTTAACACTGGTGGTAAATAGCCCATAAACTGATCCATTTAATTACATGCATGTCCTTAGGATCAAGTTTTATTTTTCCATAAGGTAAAAAACCAAAAACAAAAACAAATCCCCTCCCCAAAAAATACCAGTCCCAAACAAAAAACTGATTCTACCCTTTCCTGCCCCCCCCCCCCCCCCAACCCTGGCCAAAACACAAAACCAAACCAACAAACAAAAAACTCACCCTCCAAAAAGCTCCTATTTGAGTGCTTAACTACTGCTTTTCCTTGGGCTTCCAGGCTGCTAGCACCCTGGTTTGTGCTGGTATTCCCATGATTCCCTCAGAAAATACTTGTGAAGGCAGTAGAGGAATCCCATGACAGGAAAAACCTGTAGCTTCTACAGGAAGAGGACTTGCTTTCTATTTGAAAGGAGAAAAGAGGGATCATTTGCATGCAGAGTGCAGAGGCCTGAAACAATCAACCTCTCCAAGATGTGATATGCAGAGGTGCCTCCTGGAGAGGAAAAAAAAAGCTTTGTTTGCATCAGCCCTGTTACCATGGCAGGGTTGTTTCTGTACCTGCAGCCATGCATTGAGTGTTCGAGGACAGAATGAGCAAGGGGAAGGATGCCATGATCAGGAGCTCCTGATAGAAGTATTTTATCATGTAGGATGGTCCACTGCTCTCTCGGCTTTGAAGCCTGCAGAACCAAAATAATATTTTCTAACAGAGCAAGCTGGAACATCCCAGCTGCTCCTTGGGTTGTTTAGGGTTTTATTTGTTTGTTTCTGTTTGGTTGTTGGGTTTTTTCCCCCTTAGGCCGGGCAGCAGCCACGGTATAAATAAACGGCAGAGTACAAAAACCGCAGAGTCCAGGTTGACAAAAGGAGCCCTAGAAGCATTCAAAACACGGGCTGGTTTTACCAGCTGGCAGGGCGAGATGCTCGTCACTCATCGCGGTGTCCTCTGGCGGATCCATCGTCACTGGCTGCGGATTAAGGAAAGGAAAAGGACTCGGGGGCGCGGCGGGGTCAGGGAAGGCAGCACAGGGAATGGAGGGGACGGATGGCGGAGGGAGGGGAGGAGGAGCGAGGGAGGGAGGGAGGGAAGCTTCTTCCCGGGCAGGATTGGCTGGAAATTGCTGCAGCCCAGGCGGGTGGTGCCTGCGGCCCCCGCTCCCGCCGGGCTGCCGAGCCGGGCCGAGCTCAGCTCAGCCGGGCCGGGCCGAGCCGGGACACGGCCCCGGGGGAGCGCCCCAGAGCCATGGAGCCTCCCCTTCCCTGAGCCGTGCCACGGGAACGACGGGCATGCCACTGAGGCAAAGGGAAAGGCACACAAGGGTCAGCCTCACGGCAATCCGCTTTCCTGTTGGTATCAGATATATCTGATATCTATATTTTATATATATATTATATATACATATATAATATATATACTATATATATATTTATATATATACCCAGACACACATACAGACTCGAAGCATTTCTGTGACCTGCAGACGCAGTTTGCTGCCACTGCGTGTCTACAGCAGTAGAAGCTGCAGTTGGATTCCACTTCCACACAAACGTCCTGAGGGTCAGCATCAATGACTTCCAAAATGTGTGGATGGAGAAAAGCGAATTTCTTACATGTTTTCCAAAGTCTAGACTGATCTTGTACTATGCATTTTAGAGAAATAAACAGTAACTTATTCTTTAAAAAATACTTTTGGTGTCTAAGCAGGTCTGAGTTTAAGAAAAGTAAATTACTAATGGTGTTATTCAAATTATTTATACAGAATACCACCAGATTTGTAAGATGTTCCAACTGCATTTTAATTTGGTTTGCTATATAAGATTGCAGAAAGATACTAAAGAAACTAAAAATTTGAGTGAAGGAATTTGAGAGCAATTTAATAAAACCTTATAAAAGCTTAACCATTGCATAGACTATGTGATGCAAATGTTCATTTAAGTTTCACAAGGAAGAGCCTGGAGCATCGTGGGGATAGCCTTGGTATCAGGTAATTAATTCCAGTCCATTCACGTTTGGTCTAGGTAAACACTCTAGCTTGCCTACATTATCGATAAAATTTCTCACCTAAAGCAAATTCTCATGAAACAAACAAACAAACAAAAAAAAAATTAAAATCAGATCATCCACTAAGACTTTGGAAGACTGCTTACTATCAAGGGAGTTGGAACACTATTCCTACCCTGTCCTCAATCAGGTCTCTAGACAAAAATCAAGCATTGACAGTCTTTTTATAAAACAAATTAAAAAACCCAAACAAAAAGCCTCAAAACCAAACCAAAAAACAAGACCAAAACAATGTGAATAAGATTTTTGGAAGGAAATTAATATCCAAGGACTTTTTCTGGCACTCTATGGTTACTAAGACAAAGCCAAAAAGTAAATGTTCTTTTATAACATCACGTTTTTAAAATATGATTTTGAATGTTTCTGCAATTGAGCATAGTTTCATTTTGGGTTTGTTTTTTTTTTTTTAATATTGTCCTGCACATTATCTCTCAGTGCTTTATAGAAAAACAAGAAACTATTGGATAACTACAAGTTAATTAACATTTACTTGGGAGCAAGCAATCAGAGAGATTGCCCTACCTATGTTATGGTTAGTACTTTACAGCATAAGGGTATATTTGGTGTGGACCTAAAGTTCAAAAGTAAATTAGGGTCATATGATATTAAATGTTTATTTCATGATCAAAAGCATCTGTGATGCACTGTTCTTAAATCCAAAGCCTTCCTCCTTTTTGAGAATTTAGGTTGGCTGGATAGATGAAACTATATTTGGGAAGGGAAATTCCACATCTGCAATGAAATACAATATTGTGCTTTTAAAAAAACCACTACTTTTAACTCCCATTTGTCCCATACTCAAAGAGGTCATATAATACATTTCTCTCCTCTACTTCAATATATAAAAACCTTTTATATATTGAAATAGCCTTTCATTTAACTGTGGTATGCAGACAGAAATTGTGTGCATTTATAACAAGCAGTTACCCGAGGCAGAAGAACATATTGCCCTTCTACATTAGTTGTGAATGATTGATCAGGAGGAACTCAGATATGCAGCAATTGTATGAAAACATTCCAGGCATAATTTAGCTGAAGAAAAGGAGGAGTTAGCATACAGAACTCATCTAATCTCCTCTACTAACAAAAATATACTTAAACCCATCATGAAAATCCTGTTGGTGGCATAGAGAATGCCATGATATTTTAAAATCTCTGTACAAGGAAAGCCAGCTCATTACATGAGCTGTCTCAAGGAGGAAACATGGGTAGAAAATTGTGAACTTAATGGATTACACTATTGAGCTTAACGATGTCTAGTGAGGAACATGATAGAAAAAACAAAACAAACACTTCACACTAGAATACAACCTACCCATTTCTTATTTGAAAACTATTAAAATATATTTTTCTAATTATTTTTAAAATATCAGCAGGGGGGGAGGGAGAGAGGAAATAAGAAATAAACCCAACAAAAGCAAAACATGCAATTTCCAGGAGAAGCAGAACATAAATACTGAAGTGCCTGAGAAGGAAATATGAATATTGCTCTTGAAAAGAAATGCTCCCTCCTCACAGCCTGTGTTCAAGGGCAAAAATGAAACCCGGGAGGCCTCTGTTTCAGGGTTTTCAAATGGCCCAATCAGAACCTTGTACAAATCAATTCCCTTCTCTAGGCCCACGTAATCTCTTCCTTCTCTACTAAATATACACCAATGGAAGCTTATTTTGCCAAATATGCAAAACAGAGCAGAATTGCAATTATGAAACAAACAAAAAAAAAATCCTGAAGTGTTTTAAACTTAATTCTAGCCTAATTCTAGCCTCAAATTTCAGAATGGTTACCAATAAAGTCCTGCAGTTCCTGCTGTGTCAAAGTCCAGCTCTGAATGGTAGATTATTAATATCTAATGCAATTTCTTCCAGCAGAACGGAGATGATTAAAAAATGAGGAGGGAAAAAAAAAGTCTTCTGTCTATTTTGGGAAAGAAAAAAATCCAAAATAACAAACATGGAAAAAAAACACCAAAAAAATTAAAAAAAAAAAAAACCAAAACAATAACAACAACAAAAAAAAGCCCACCAAACAAAGGAAAAGAACTCAACCTTTGAAAATTGTTTAAGAATCATATACCGCTTAGAAACAGACCCACGATTCTTATCTTGTTCCTAAGCAAGATTTCAGCCGGGCACTCCCACGTTATCTCCCTCTGCCTGAAAAACATTTTCCATTAACACAACGCCCCAGTGACTCACTCCTCCGCCTCCTGAGGCACAACACCGAGGGGAAAAAAAAAAAAAAAAAAAAAAAAAAAAAAGCAGAGTTTTCCTCGCCTTACTTCTCGAGGGACGATTTAAAGAACAAAGAAAACCCCCTCCCCAGCCCCCGAGCAGCCTCATTCGGAGGCTCCCGGCGCGGCATTCCTGCCCTCCCTTCGGGCAGTTGGCCGCATAAAACATAACAAAAAACAAACTAAAGCGTCATTTATCCACACCTTTTCTAAAAAAGGAGGGAACACCTTGTTCTTTACAGTGGGGACAAAGTTAAAAATAATTATAAAAAACCAAACAAAGGTAAAACCCCCGAAATTACCCTGCTCAGAGGAGAGAGGAGCTGCCGCCGACCCCAGCAGCGCGGCCACCCGGAGGCACCAATGGCGCGGAAGCTCCTCCCTGCGAATCCCGATCCTTCGCCTCTTCCCGGGATTTAGCAGCCCCTGGCAGCCCGAGAAGAGCGATGCAGAGGCTGGCAGCTCCAAAGAACACAGCTTCCACATCGCCAAGGCCTTGCCCTCTTCTCGGGGTGCCAGGGGCTCCCACAGCCAAGCAGGCCCAGGCAGCCGCAGCAGCCAAGGGCCCCAAACAAGACAACGAAGGCTACCAACTCCCCAAAAGTGGTATTTAAGAGCTCAGAGAAGCCAAAGGCAGCAGGAGGCAGGAGAACATAATTTAGAAGTAAAGGAAACTTTTGCAGAAAAATGCCAAGAGCACTTCTAAACACCACTCATGCTGTCAGGATGAAGGAGAAAGAATTAAAACAGCAGTTCAGGGCCAGACTAGTACATCGTGACTCCCTCCCTGGGCATATGTCGCTTTCCTACACGAAATGACACTCGAGCCTAATTTACAGCTGTCACCATCAATCATCAGAATAATTAATTCTTAATTCCAAATACCTGATGCCACCCTTTTGGAAACCCTCCTGGACTGCGCCCTAGGAAAGTACTTACGGTTATCTTAAAGCCTGAAAGGTTTAAGCTGCAAATAAGAGAAAAGAGAAGCACAGAAAGCAGCAAGGGGCAGGAACCCCTGCATAGGAGGCGCTGGAGCCCCCCTTCCAGCCCGGCCCAGGGCAGGGGAGGGCCCCGCTCCCCGCGGTTTGAAAGCCCCGCGCTCCGCCCGCATTGGCCGCGGCAGCCCCGGACCCGCCCCGCCCTTCCTGCCCCGAGGGAGCGGCGCTGCACCCCCACGGAACCCACCGGCTGGGAGGCAGCGAGCGCAGCCTTGCAGAGTCCGTATCTCTCCTCAAACCGTACAGCGGTGACCGATTTCTTCCGTGGCAACCGCCACCTTTTATTGATTTTTTCAAAAAGGTTAACTGACTCACGCTTACATAAGTAACTTCTAGGATAAAGAAAAAAGGGAGGAAGCTACAAAACACGAAGGCAGAGCCCAGATATAAAACATTTAGACGCCACCCCTTAAAATTCCAAGTTTTCAGGTATATTAACACAGCACGTATTCCAGGGGTCAAGCGTTCCTGCTCTTTCTAGGAAGATGTGGGTGGCTCTGAAAAGAGCCTTTGGGTTGTTAGTCAGATGAGATTTACTTGGCTTTCGCCTTGTGGCTGTCGGTCTTCTTGGGCAGCAGCACGGCCTGGATGTTGGGCAGCACGCCGCCCTGCGCGATCGTCACCTTGCCCAGCAGCTTGTTGAGCTCCTCGTCGTTGCGGATGGCGAGCTGCAGGTGGCGGGGGATGATGCGCGTCTTCTTGTTGTCGCGGGCCGCGTTGCCCGCCAGCTCCAGGATCTCGGCCGTCAGGTACTCTAGCACGGCCGCCAGGTACACCGGCGCGCCGGCGCCCACGCGCTCCGCGTAGTTGCCCTTGCGCAGCAGCCGGTGCACGCGGCCCACGGGGAACTGCAGCCCGGCCCGCGACGAGCGCGACTTGGCCTTGGCCCGCGCCTTGCCGCCCTGCTTCCCGCGCCCGGACATGACTCACAGAGCTGGATACAAAAAAAAAAGAGCCGAGTTCGCGGAAAAGCTGCGTGACAGAAAAAAAAAACGCGGCGAAAATGAGTAAATGCACAGAGAGCTTAAACGCTGCCTTTTTATACCTTCCTTCTGAGGGTCGCTTGGACTTCTGATTGGAGGAGACAGGGATTGTGAATTTAGCCAATGGGAATGCAGATGAGAAAGTCGACCAATGGAAGATGCAATGTATTTGACGTCACGGAGCCGAGCTGTCCAATAGCGAAGGACAGTGTTGAGTCATCTCATTTGCATACCGTCTCTATAAATACGGGGGGGGCTCCGCTTTTGTACCTACGTCGTTCCTGCGGTAGCCAGGTATAGACAGACCCGTAAAATGCCGGAACCAGCTAAATCCGCTCCCGCTCCCAAGAAAGGCTCTAAGAAAGCTGTCACCAAGACTCAAAAGAAAGGTGACAAGAAGCGTAGAAAGACTAGGAAAGAGAGCTACTCCATCTATGTGTACAAGGTGCTGAAGCAGGTGCACCCCGACACGGGCATCTCGTCCAAGGCCATGGGCATCATGAACTCCTTCGTCAACGACATCTTCGAGCGCATCGCGGGCGAGGCCTCGCGCCTGGCGCACTACAACAAGCGCTCCACCATCACCTCGCGCGAGATCCAGACGGCCGTGCGCCTGCTGCTGCCCGGCGAGCTGGCCAAGCACGCCGTGTCCGAGGGCACCAAGGCTGTCACCAAGTACACCAGCTCCAAGTAGGGCGCCTCGGACCGTCACTCTCAACCCAAAGGCTCTTTTCAGAGCCACCCATATATTCAGTAAAAGAGTCGGTCACAGTTTTTTATTGGTGAGTGGTGCTTGTACTGTTTTAGTCACTGGGTTAGAACATGCTGTCGGAAGATGAGGGAAAAATGTTTATCCTGTTTAGGTATCTAAAAAGATTTGGGTCGTCTTGTCTGTTCTGTTCTGTCAGTTGGTCCCGCAGGTCTATAAAAAGCATGTTAAGCCCCTAAAGAGTTTTAAAGCCATTAAAGATTTCTTTCTTAATTTCAGAGTATTTATTCATACTAGTTATTCACAAAGACAGTTTGTTGTCCCCTTTAAATATGTCATTTTGGAGTGACTTGGCCATAAGCCAAAGTGGCTTGTTTACCGGGAAACTAGGGATTAGCCTGTAATGATTTAAAGACGATGTTTACTGAAAGCAATAGCGACAGGCACAGCAGGTGCATAATGATATAGAGAACAGCATAATTTTACTAGTCCTAGAGATTTCACAAGGAAGTGGTGTACTTTATTAAAGTCTGAGACATTAGTAAAATACGCCACCGTGCAGTGGAAACGCGGCAGAATTAAGAAATCCGTAAGTGACAAGACAGTAGGAAATAAGAAGGAAATATAAGGGACTTGAGGGAAAGAAAAAAAAACAAAAAGGAAAAAATTAGAAAAGCGAGGATGAGCGCTTTAACGAACCTTAGGTAGCTCGGGATGCGCAAGGAAGGCTGCATTTGGGTAAACGCCTTTTAGAAGGGGCTTAAATCCAGGAGGTCCCGGGCAGAGGCTGCGAGAAACCCACCGCAGAGACAGAGTAAAAACTCCACGTCTGCTGCGGGCTGCAGCTGCGCGAGCGCTCCGGGCCGCCGCCAGTCCCGCTCGGCAGGGCGGAGCTGAGGGATAAGAGAGAAGGGAGCGCGGCGGCTCCCGGGCGGGGGGAGGGGGGGGGGGGGGGGGGACGGGGACGGGGAGCGGCGGCGATGGCGGCTCCCGCCTGCCCCCCCCACCGCCCGCCCCGCGCGGGATTTTCAAACTCGGCCTTTGTCCAATGGCAGCCCGGCTCTGCGCGCTGGCCAATCACAGCGCGCTGCTGTCCATAAATACTGGCCCCAGTGGCCGCTGCCTGTTCAGTGTCCGCTCCCTGTGCGGTTCGGCATCCTCGGTGTGCAGCGATGGCGCGTACGAAGCAGACGGCGCGGAAGTCGACGGGCGGCAAGGCGCCCCGCAAGCAGCTGGCCACCAAGGCTGCCCGCAAGAGCGCGCCGGCCACGGGCGGCGTCAAGAAGCCGCACCGCTACCGGCCCGGCACGGTGGCGCTGCGCGAGATCCGGCGCTACCAGAAGTCCACGGAGCTGCTGATCCGCAAGCTGCCCTTCCAGCGGCTGGTGCGCGAGATCGCGCAGGACTTCAAGACCGACCTGCGCTTCCAGAGCTCGGCCGTCATGGCGCTGCAGGAGGCCAGCGAGGCCTACCTGGTGGGGCTCTTCGAGGACACCAACCTGTGCGCCATCCACGCCAAGCGCGTCACCATCATGCCCAAGGACATCCAGCTGGCCCGCCGCATCCGCGGAGAGCGTGCCTGAGCTGCCGGCAGACGAGATTCAGACCATCGAAAACCCAAAGGCTCTTTTAAGAGCCACCACAACGTCATTAAGGAGCTGTAAAATCCTAATTATGCGTAAGAGGTGATGTTTTTTGGGTGGGTTATTGTCGAGAGGATCTTGCAAGAGGATCTTGCTTGTCAAGTAAGTACAAAACAATGCATAAATTGCATCTGGCAGGAGTCAGATCCTGAGTTCTGCAAAACTGTTATGCAGTTAGTTCTTCTAAAGAGATTTTGCTAAACCAAATTTTTCGTTTGGGGTTAAAAACTGCTCTCTATGTGGTTTTTTTGTACGCCATTTCAGCACATAGAAAGCAGACTTTACTGTTAGTAATGGGAAGATACCTGCATAGAAGATAAGTGGATTTTATCTTTAGCATGTCTTGAAATCATTTCGAATTCGCAAAGAGGAGCACTTCTACAGAATCCTGCTTTCCCGACTGGAGAGGTCAAATGCACTCTATACGTGTCCTGTATATTGTAAATGTTCTGCCTTTATGTCCCCCATTTACCCTCACTGTTTTTCAGCAGCAATATTGTATCTCGCCCCCCCCACCCCCGCGCTTATTTTTTTTGTTGTTGTTGGGAGGGCCTGTGGGACTCGCTTTGTTTCTGAAAGAGCAAAAATTCATTTCCCGCCTTCCCTGGAAGGACTCTCCATCAGTGCTTTCCTCAGTGCTCAATCACTCCTGGTCGTGAGCGACGTCCCGCGGGCATTTTCAGCCCATTTCAAGCGCTACAATTTATTCCTGAGATACAATATTTCCAAAAGCGGGGTGGCGGGTGGGATACAAGGTAGAGGCAAGGATGTTTTCAGAGTCCTTTTCCCAAGTCGTGTGCGTGCTCCTTGCTAATGTCTTGTCTAGGACCACACGTGTGACATCTTTAATGGTTGGAGATTTTTGGCTGCATCCATCTTTTCGGTCCTTATTGAGGCTCCCAAAAAGGTTTCTTGAAGTTACCGCAGACCAAGTGTTTTCCAAGAAGCATCTGTGCTTGAAAACTCAGCAAGTCTAGAATAATTTCTAAATGGAGGCTCTTCCCTATTTGTCGTGTTCAGTGATATTTGTGAACCTACCTAGAACACGGATTTCTCCCTGACTGTAAATTCAGTCACACACACACCCCTGCTCTCCCAGTCAATAGATGTGTAGTTGCCTGAAAAATGTACATTTCTGAAATTATTTCAGACTTTACGGCACCTTTATCTCTATTAATGCTACAGGTAGATTTAGGTAATCTGGGGAGCCTGCTGTTCCATTGAATTATTGGAAATTATGTCCCTTTGGTGTTTCGATGCTACAAATGAGTTCCGGTGGCTTTAGGAAGCTGCTGGATTGAGTTAGACACAGCCTTCGTTTAAACCAGGAAATAAGGAGCCACTGAGAAATGCTTAGAGGAAACATTTCTCCCAGAAAGCCTAAGATTGCAAGGCTCAGTTTAGTCTTAACTGCTGAGAAAAACTTCATTTTAGGAATATTTCCTTCTCTGTGTGAGAAACTTGGACTCTGCAGCAAAATCTGACCAATCAACAGCCTCGACACCATTTTCTTTCCTCTGTTTTTCTCACTTTCAGCCATTTTCTGTTTCTGAACCTCGGAGGGTTAAAAGGGAGGGGGGAAGGCATCGGGAGCAGTGCTTTGAGAATTCAGACATCTCTGCTGTGATTTATTCATCCATCCCCCCAGATTTGTTCATTGACATATGACTTGTGTTTTTCTAAATAGATTTTTTTTTATTCCAGTAGATTACCGCTGGGACTGCAGAAATGAGATGTAGTGTAAGTTAACTCGTATCATTTTCTGCTATGGCAAATGATATGTTTACCTGGACCTGTTTGCATATGCTTATAAGAAAAAAAAAAATTGAATCAAGTAAAATTGCTTTTTCTAACAGTTTATTTAGAAGATATTTGATATCTTACACAAGCCATTGGTCAGAGTAATTGCATTTCAGCAAAATGTAGCATCAGAAATTATGGGGGTTTTGGGTTTGTTTTTTTTTTCCCATGTTCAAGAAACAAATTATTTTTGAGCAGTGAGAACAGGTTTTATTTGCCTTCATCTCTTCTCTCTTTTCCTCTTGTCTTTTGAAGACCTCAAACTGTTTTACTAAATTAAGTATTATTTGGATTCATTCAGAGAGAGTTGCATGCTCAAATGGTAAAAAAACCACTAAACACTTCATCGGCTGAGACAGAAAGTTGTGCTGTGCTCTTTATTTTCTCAGGGCTCATATAAACTCTAAATTATAATGCCTGAGCCTGAAGTAGTTTTGGGGTGTAATACACAACAAATGGGTGGCATCTAGACAGGTGACGAAGTGCAAGATTCCCTAAGTTCAAGTGGGAATAAAAGTGGAGGTTCTTCTGGTGCCAGCAAGGTTCAGCTGCATTTCTTTGCTTTTTGCAGGGGAGCCTGAGATAAAAGAATGCTGCCCAGGCAAAGCTGGATGTGAGCAAGACAGGTCCTAAAGATGCAATGTTTTCAAGCTGCAAGTCCCTCTTGTGGGCTTCTTCACAATCTGAATCACCTGTTGATTCCACCAAAGCCAAGTTTGAACTTGGCCAAACACAGCTCTACAGGCCTGGCCAGCACTGCCCTGCTGCATCACTGCCTCTCTCTCCTCTCCCACTTCCAGGTCACATTCTACCTTCAGCCTGGGCACCAGCACGTGTCAGATTGTGGATGTGCAAGCAACATGGTCACAACACTATGGACATTTATAAAAAATTCATATTATATATTAGAAAGTACTTTGTCAGCTACTCCTATTATGGAATTAATTACACTGGGGCTGACCCCAGGATCCTGCTGACTAATGCACTCGTTAGGGAAGGTTTCCAATTTGTCTTTCATTAGTTCTCAGGTTACAGCTTGAATTGGGTGGCTCTGAAGAGTGACCACTACACCAAAAATTTACCTTTAATCCCACACAGGGCACCCAGCACTCAATTCCCAAGCCCATCAGTTGCTTCTGGTCAGTTGTCTGTTCTCTTTCTTTGGTTTTTTGGGGTGTTTTTTTTGGTTTGGTTTTGGGTTTGGTTTTTTTGTTGTTGTTGTTGTTGTTTGGGGGGGGGGGGGGGTTTGTTGTTGTTGTTTTGTTTTTGGGGTGGTTTTTTTTTTTTTTCTTCTGACATTACCTCAATTCTTGGAGTTGTTTCCTTGGTCCTTCCTTACCTTTTTCATTCTGCTTTGGGTACTGTTGCAGCATGAGCTTTTAACAAAACCTTTTCTTTTGGTCAGCTCTTGTGGCCTAATGCTACAACCACTCCAGCCATTATTGCTAAACTACTTAATACATCATGAGAAGATGCAGAATGCAGTTAATGGAAGTTTCCTGTAAAAGACTATGAAGCAATACAAGATGGAAAGCTTTGTTCTCAGTGAAGCTGTTATGGCAATACCAAGGTTTAGTAATAAAAAGAAAACAAACTAAATGAACATTAATGTATCAAACCAATGCAAACTGAGTTTGAATTAAACCTGTTTGTACATAAGACAGGGTAAGCCCATCTGGGTGGGGGCCTCAGCCCCAGTCTGTAATGACTGATAGGGATCAGAGAAACAAATCCTGCAGCTCCAGGGATACTGGGGTGGCAAAGGACATGCCCCAACCTTGCTCACTCCATACTGCTGTCATCTGTGCCACCCATGGTGCCCTGCAGCTCAGTCTAAAGGTGCTTTTTTGGTTTGGCTCCAGGTTCAAAGAGCCCCTAAGTCCAGAGCCCCAGGGGCACTGGTGCCACACAAACCATGCCAGGGTGAGCCTGGCACTGCCCCAGCCCTGTTTTCCCCACCCCTTTCTCTTCCAGGCCATCCATGGTGCTGGGCACTTCAGCCTCAGCCCGAGCCTGCTCTGAGGGTGACGTGTCAGAGTCACAAAACCCACACCTGCAGGCACACTGGGGTGGCAAAGGACATGACAAGGGCAGCATGGCCATGCTCCAACACTGCTCCCTTCTCACCTCTCTCATCTGGGTCACCTCTGGTGCTTTATCCAGTTTACATGTATGGACAATGTTCAATTCCCCTGTCCTTTATGTTCTTTTACCCTTAAGCACTGCGAGGTTTTAGTCCATTAACATAAAGATGTTTTTTAAGGGGCTTTATCACTTTTGTCTTTACACATCAGCCAAGTCTGTGCCCTGCTGTGCTGTCATCTGTTCTCATGTGGAGGTTAATTGTAGTTAAGGTGTTAAAAAAAACTGATTATATATCCTCTGTGTTCTTATTGCTTCTGTCTCAACACTTTATTCTTGCTCATCACTCTCTATTTCTGAAGATCTAGTGCCAGGAGTATTTGATGTATTTATGGGTATCCCCTTTCTCTCTGCATATGGATTTTCATTTATTATGCTATTCCAAGCACAGCACTGATCCATCAGGATGGGTCTGTGAAGCTATACAAAATTCTGGCCTGTAAGAGCTTCCACTTGTGATGCCATCAATAGGAAAGTAATTGATCCAGAGGGCACATGATACACTTTTCTGTAAGTGTTCCATATGGTCCCATGGATTTTAGGACAGTGTGCCAATGCTGTAATGAACATAGGGCTCTAGAGCTGAAGGCATGATGTGAGAGGCATGACCAAAAAAAGCACACACAAAAAACACATGAACAAAACAAAAAAGTGTTTCTGAGACACAGCTTTTCAGGAACAACCAAAAGTCAAATATAAATCTCTGTGTGTTTTAGATGCCAATTCAGTGTGCTGAGGTCTGAACATTTCCTGAATTAATTCCAACTACTGATAATATATGGAAAACAGTTAATATCTCCACTGCACCAATGCAATAAGTAGCACTTCAGAATTTCTGAATGCTTTGCTGCAGTCAGCTATCTCTGTCAAAATCTTTGTCACGCTGAGATTGAAATACTTCTAAGCAACAGACAGGGCCAGCTGCAATTCAAGTTAGTTATGTTGTGAAACAGAACATTAAGGAAGGTTATCTTCCCCTCCTTTTTTCTAAATGAATTACTCTGTTGGATGCTGAAATTGAACGTTATTCTCTTTATTTCGGCCAGTTTTGAACTTCCCATCAGTTCTCCCAGGCAGACTCATCTGACAGGTTGTTGTGGTTTTGTTTTTAGGGAAAAAGAACATGTTTGGAAAAAATTAAGATCACTACATGGATATGGACTAGTTCACTTCCAGGAGGGATGCATTTAAGAGTCTAAGAGTAGTAAATATACAGACACCAAAGGAAAATGGAGGGGTTGCCAACATCTGTCACTCTCAGGCTCCTTTGGTATTTCTCAGTGTAGGCCAATATAACACAGAAATATTTCCAGAACAGAAGTATCACCTCAGCTCTGCATCCAGTGCTCAAAAGCTGTAACAGTGTCTGCACCAATTCCAGGCCAGTCCTTGCTGTTTTTTGTGGTTGTTTAGGCAGGTGCATGCAGAGTTTGAGTTCACCTCACAGCAGCAGCAGCACGAGTGCACTCTACACAGAAATAAAATGAAAAGTGGATTCAATACTGATTCCATGATGTGAGGACTGAATTACAATTGTTATGTGTGTGTGTGCATGCGTGCATGCAGTCATTATATGTTTTCAAAGGTCTGTAACTGGGATTTTTAAATGGGAAGAATAGGAGTTTCTTACCATCCTTATAAAATTAATCTAGTTTAAAGGCCCTGAAATGCCTGGCTGCAAGACTTTATCAGAGAGGTATTTCATAATACACAGTATTTTGCAAGCAGCTGTGTATGTTGTATTTTAAGAACACTTTCAAGTAATAAAACTTTATCCTCAGGAGTTTAGAGGGTGAGGTTTGTTGGTTTTTTAGTGTTGTTTTTGGGGGGTTTGTTGTTGTTTTGAGGGTTTTTTTGGGTTTTTCATGGGGTTTTTTTTAAGTGTAACAGGCTGATGTGACAGGGGGATGTCACACAGGTGCTAATGGATGGATCACTGTCCTGTGACTGGAAGACTCCAGCTGAAATGTAGGAATCAAATAGAAGGTTGGCTGGTGGTGCTTATCAGAAGGTGACCAAGCTTATCAGAAGGTGACCAAGGAAAGCCAAGAGGGCCTCATGTTAGGGAAGAATAAAAATCAAATTCACTACGATACATCCCTAAATGCTGGAGTCACAATTCCAAACCGGGCAGTTGCCTGAGTGATAGAATAGATTCTATCAGTAAGTTTATGGTTTCATAAAAGAAGGCTGAAGAGTTTTGAACAAAGTTGTCTGCTGCAGAGGGAAATAGAAAAGGCTAAAAGATAACCACAGATATTAAAACAAGCAAGCAAACAAATGAACTCCAGCAAAACCAACCAAACCCAGAATTGCTTCATCATGTTCCTGTGTTTGGAAAAAGTAGTTTGGATAAATCTATCTTATAAAAAGACAGCAGATTCCTTTTTGAATGTGTGTCTACTACACTTTTGAGGGGATGAGAGCAGGTAAAGAAAGAAATTTCTTACCCTAAAATGTGTGAGTAATTAATTAGAAAGAATGATGCTAGGGAATGATAATTATTGTTACAGCAGCACATTTTTTTCCTTCTCTATTTCAAAGTTACACAAAATCGTGCCAGTGAAAATGTTTTATAATGATGAGTTCTCAGAATATGAAGACTAAATGCAAATTAAAACAGAAATCACAACAAAACAAAATCCCTAAAAGGTTCTTTGGTAAATTCTTATTTTCATACTTTTTAAAGATTTATTTTTTTCTATGTCAATATTCCTCTGGTAAATGTAAGGTTATTTATTATTACCCAAAATCAATAGAAATTCCTGAAAATTTTTTGCTGTTAAAATTAGAAAAGGAAAATGCCAAGTAGCCCCAAATGTTTTTTAATTGTGAAAATGAGTTTATTCTCAATATAAATTAGTTTAATAGTATCTATGTCAGGAAGGAAAAATTTATTTGTTTATGCAATCCTGCCTTAATCCAGGAAACTTAGTAGTACTGGAACATTCATCTGTATTTTAGTGTTGACTATAAAAATATGAGTAGCATTCCTATTTTAAATAGTGCATGTTTAGCAAGGGGATAACCCAAACATTAGTGAGAGAAATTTGAAATTGTCTTTCATTTCCATTATTGTGTGGTACAAGAACAGGTCTCCTACTTCCCTAGTAGGAAGCATTCCCAGGAAATGTTGTTGCAAGAAATGGCTTCTTCTTTATGGTCTCTTATTTTATAACTCTCTATGCTCTCAGCTTTCCTAGAAATGGTGAAAAATACACTGGATAGGTAAAGGTATGGCAGACAAGATGTATGTGTTAGCGCATGTGTGCACTTGTTTTTCCAGGGAAACAAACAAACAAAGCCCGGTAAAACAAACACAGGCCACAGAACTGTTCACTCTTTTATCCTCGCTGAGGAAATTCGACATTACATTAAAAAAAAAAAAAAAAAGGAAAAAAGGAAAAATCTTCTAGCCATGACACGGCTTGAGCATTTCCTTCCCCTGCTGTTTTAAACAAAAAGAACGTAGAAAGAAGCTATAGGTCGCAGACGACAAGGTTGGCAGAGATTATATAAATTCTCCCGAGGAAGGTGTCTATGAGGGAAATGCTAACAACCAAAAAATCAAAAAGGAACACTTGAAGCAGAAGCCGGGATGAGCGGGCCGAGAGCAGCGGAGAGGCGGGGCGGGAGCGCAGGGCGAGGGCCCGCATTGGCAGGATTTTGCCGCAGACCCGCGGGCAGCGGGGAAGGGAGGCGAAGGGGGCGCCGGAAGAGGGTGCGGCAATCCCGGCTCCTGCTCCGGCGGAGACTCGGAGCTCTGGGGAGCTGCGACCGCGCAAGGGAGCACGGCCGGGCGGGACGGGAGAGCAGCCAAGGGAGGCGAGCGCTGGGAACGGGAGCGGGAAAGCGCCGCGGTAGCGCCGCGCGGGGGAGGCGGGGCCAGGGGAAAGACCCCGCCTCTTTCTGCAGTCCTCAACCAGGTCGGCTCCCGTGTAATAAAGGGGCGCTAAGGGAGGATGGAAGTGTGTGGTGAGCTACTGCACGGAGTGTGTGACCATGTCTGGCCGGGGCAAGGGCGGCAAGGGGCTCGGTAAGGGCGGCGCCAAGCGGCACCGCAAGGTGCTGCGCGACAACATCCAGGGTATCACCAAGCCGGCCATCCGCCGCCTGGCTCGGCGCGGCGGCGTCAAGCGCATCTCGGGGCTGATCTACGAGGAGACGCGCGGCGTGCTCAAGGTCTTCCTGGAGAACGTGATCCGCGACGCCGTCACCTACACGGAGCACGCCAAGAGGAAGACGGTCACGGCCATGGACGTGGTCTACGCCCTCAAGCGCCAGGGTCGCACTCTCTACGGCTTCGGCGGTTAAACTTCACGTAGTTTAACTCATTGTTTTAAAACACCTAAGGCTCTTTTCAGAGCCACACACAAATTCACAAATAGAGCTTGTAATTACTAAAGTTACTAATACAGAAGAAAGGAGTCCTGCAAAGTTGTGTAATGTTTCGTATCTGTAGTGTTTGTACCTAAATTCGTAGTACATAATCTACATTTTAAAAAAATGCATTTGCAATCCCAGCTCTTATTAGGAACGTGTGGTGGCTCTTAAAAGAGCCGTTTGGTTTATAATTTACTATCCTTTTACTTAGAGCTGGTGTACTTGGTGACAGCCTTGGTGCCCTCGGACACGGCGTGCTTGGCCAGCTCGCCGGGCAGCAGCAGGCGCACGGCCGTCTGGATCTCGCGCGAGGTGATGGTGGAGCGCTTGTTGTAGTGCGCCAGGCGCGAGGCCTCGCCCGCGATGCGCTCGAAGATGTCGTTGACGAAAGAATTCATGATACTCATGGCCTTGGACGAGATGCCCGTGTCGGGGTGCACCTGTTTCAGCACCTTGTACACGTAGATGGAGTAGCTCTCTTTCCTTGCCCTCTTGCGCTTCTTGTCGCCCTTCTTCTGCGTCTTGGTCACCGCCTTCTTGGAGCCCTTCTTCGGTGCTGGAGCAGATTTCGCCGGCTCAGGCATCCTTAATGTTTTCTTTCACGATCTTCCACGTAGCACAACAACATCGAAAATGGCGCCTGCCCCCCCTATTTATAACGGCGTTATGCAAATTAGAGGATCGTAATTGTTCCATTCCTATTGGAGTAGAAAGCATCAACGTAATGTCAGGCACTTCCGTCCTGTAACCGCCAGAGCTCAGGCGGTGCGTTTATACAATCCTTCCGCAGTTAAGGTCCTGGATCTAAAAACAAAAACTCAGCGCGTGATGCAACTGCACTGGGTGGATATTTACTAGCGTGTTCACCACCAATGACTTTAGTCCTATGAAAATTTATAATCTTTTAGGCTCTTACCCTTTTTAGCTTTTTTAAACCCTTGAATAATCTTATCAACACGAGTAAACGAATTAGTAATCAACAGCTCTTATCGTGAATTTGTGTGTGGCTCTGAAAAGAGCCTTAGGTGTTTTAAAACAATGAGTTAAACTACGTGAAGTTTAACCGCCGAAGCCGTAGAGAGTGCGACCCTGGCGCTTGAGGGCGTAGACCACGTCCATGGCCGTGACCGTCTTCCTCTTGGCGTGCTCCGTGTAGGTGACGGCGTCGCGGATCACGTTCTCCAGGAAGACCTTGAGCACGCCGCGCGTCTCCTCGTAGATCAGCCCCGAGATGCGCTTGACGCCGCCGCGCCGAGCCAGGCGGCGGATGGCCGGCTTGGTGATGCCCTGGATGTTGTCGCGCAGCACCTTGCGGTGCCGCTTGGCGCCGCCCTTACCGAGCCCCTTGCCGCCCTTGCCCCGGCCAGACATGGTCACACGCTCACAGCAGCGAGAGCAATGAGCTGGGGAGGGCCCCGCGCGGCTCTATATGGGCGGCGGTCCGACCTGGTTGAGAACTGCAGAGGGGCCGAGCTGGGCTCTGTGCGCGCCCCTCCCCCCGCGGGCCGGGCCTTTGCCGCCATCGCTCCCGGCTCGGGCCCGGCCCCGCCCCCGGAGCCCGAACCCGGCGGGGCCCGGAGCGGATCCCGGCCGGGCTCTCCCCGTGCCCGCCGCGCTCCGCCCGAGGGCTCTCGGTGCCGCTACGGAGCGGGGCCCCGCCGGCCGCGGGGCTGCAGCACAGCCCGGCCAATGGCGGCAGAGCCGCGTCCCGCCCGCGCTGCGCCGCCGCCAGCGAGCTGTGCCTGAAAAAGGGCCCGGCCGGGCAGGGGAGAGAGTGGGCGCTGCGGTACCGCTTCTACGGTAAATGAACCCTTTTCTGCCGAGAGGTCAGAAACGGGAGTAATGTGCCACGCATTTGTTTGCTTGCTTTATTCCCTGTCAGGGCAACCCTTTAAAATTTCACCGTGGTTGGAATTATTTTTTGTGTCCCATGTCCTAGACTTAATGATCACATAGCTTTGTTTTGTTTGTGGGTCTGATGTGTTGATGAAGGAGCTGATTTATGCCTCTTTCTGCTATACCTATGACAAAAACCTATACCACTTAATGTGCTTTTAAAAAGTGGCATGTGGTGGTAATTTTCATAGTCTCACTCTTTACTGAAGCTATTGAACTATTCCTTTCACTGTATTTTTTTTTTCTTCATTTAATATTACTTTTTGATCATAAACCGGTATTTTTTCCTTACTGCTTTCCTACAGCTGCATTCCTTTTAATGAATTCCACCATCTTGGTTACCTTTAGTAGTTTTAAGTGTTCATATATTTGGGTGTTCTTTTTTGAAAATGCATGGTTTACTTCCTTCCCCTCTTTGTTCTTTTTTTTTTTTTCACCTTGGTCTTTTTTAGTACACTTAAATATTGCTGTTGAAATGACATATATATATAATGTTTCTCCAGGGAGTTACAGGGTCTTCAGATGATAACTGCACTCAACAATTTACAAAACTAGAATAAAAAACTTGCAGCTACAGGTGACAAAGGATGGAGCAAATAATACAATTATGCCTAAAATTTCAGTCTCAACAACTGAAAGATCTATAATAGCTGCCCACAGCCTTGCAACTCAGCTTCTCAAATGTGATTCTAAGGTTCCTCATGCACTTTAAAAATTTTCCCAAATAATCCCAACCACAAGACAGATGTGTCTCATCATCAGTAAATTTTCAATTTTCCTTATTGCTAGGTGCTGTCTCCTCTTGATGGCCAAGTGGTTCTTTACCGGGACTGCTTGGTTCCTTTCTCTGTGTTCCCCATAGAAAATTACACCACACTAAAATAAATTTATGTTCAGAAATTAATCTAAATCTCCAACAAATATCCCTGTTGTGGATGAGAGGCAGCAGGGCTGTGGAGAGAGGGCAGGTATTAAAGCAGAGCAGCAGGATAACCAAGGTAGCATTGAGCTGCACTTTTCAACACTGCTTTGCCTCCCCAGTTTAGGAGAAATGTACAGCAGAAGCACTTTCAAGCAAGCCTTTCTCATGGGAAGGAAAATTATCCCACCCTTTCTCTGTCTGCTTCCCTTCAGACTCCACTACTTTGCAAACAGACCAGAGATCTTTGTGGATCTATGCTTCTGCTCAGCACAGTAAAAAGGAAAAAAGAGCAGAACCAAGACCAGCTTGCTAAGATCTCTTTTTTCACTTGTTCCACATATGTGGCATAAGCCTACAGAAGAAACCTTTCTCCTCTGATACCAGGTAAGTCCAGTCTTAGAACAGTCCTTAAAGTTTCCAAAAGGAAATAAAATCATGTTTTCCTTTTGCACAATGAATTCATATTAACAGGAACACAGCTTGATTTTCTGGTTCGTGATAATTTCAAACTGCAGAATAAAATCCACATCTAATTTTTAGGATTATCATGGTTTTGGCTTAAACATATACTTCCAATATTTATTCCATCTGAGAAGAAATGCAATCACTTAATGTTACAAATTAAATCACAGGTTCCATCTCATTTAAATTGAAGAAAAAGAAACCACACTCTTTGGGCCAAAAGGATTAGTTCTAAATACGATTAACAGTGTTCGTATTCCAGATTCCATATCTTTCCTGGTTGCATCTTTTTCTCATTTACATTTATCTCGTGGCTGTTACAAATGCAGATTGTTCTACGAAGGTATGCTCCTTCTTGTAGGAAAAAAAAAAAGAAAAAAAAGAAAAAAAAAACAGTAGCGGAACCCCTCACAAGTTGTTTGTTTCTGGTTTTGCTTTTTTCCTTCCTTAGAAATGCCCTTAAGGAGGTTTTGCTGCTCCGAACCCGCTGGCTGCTGGGGGGGCCCCGGGGCCGGGGAGAGGCCGCGCCGCAGCGGAGCTTCGGCACCAGGACTGGATTGAAAGAGCTCATCCTGATTGGCTGATAGCATTCGAAACATCGACCAGTCCTAGCGTGGTGTTTAAAAAGGACCAATAGCAGAGCACTTCGTTCTGCGACTGACGTCACTATCTCATTTGTCCAATGGAAGCGCTGCTTTCTGATACCAGCGATTTGCATAAGGGCCCTATAAATACGGCAGTAATCGCATTAACCAGCACTCCGCTGTGACCGCGCAGCCTGGGAGAGCAGCCATGCCCGAGCCGGCCAAGTCCGCCCCCGCGCCCAAGAAGGGCTCCAAGAAGGCGGTGACCAAGACGCAGAAGAAGGGCGACAAGAAGCGCAAGAAGAGCCGCAAGGAGAGCTACTCCATCTACGTCTACAAGGTGCTGAAGCAGGTGCACCCCGACACGGGCATCTCGTCCAAGGCCATGGGCATCATGAACTCCTTCGTCAACGACATCTTCGAGCGCATCGCGGGCGAGGCCTCGCGCCTGGCGCACTACAACAAGCGCTCCACCATCACCTCGCGCGAGATCCAGACGGCCGTGCGCCTGCTGCTGCCCGGCGAGCTGGCCAAGCACGCCGTGTCCGAGGGCACCAAGGCTGTCACCAAGTACACCAGCTCCAAGTAGGGCGCCTCGGACCGTCACTCTCAACCCAAAGGCTCTTTTCAGAGCCACCAATATTTTCAATAAAAGGGCTGAATCAGTGCTTTTAGTGGGGAGGTATGTAAATAGCTTAACATTTGCACGTTAATTTCTAGATCATGTGGTTCTCTAGCAAGTTTTAATATACCTACTAAATTTTTAAGAAGCTTACCTTGTCTATGCGCGGTATTATAAACTCCCTTTTTCAAAACTTCTAATCCGGTTCCTTCTAAAAAGGGACTTTGAATTCAACTTGTCCAATTCCAAGTCCCGTGGGGAAGGTGAAATTGTTTAAATTTTCTAAGGGTTAAGTGCCTCTTAGTCAAAACAGGTAGCACATGCTTTAAATGCACTAAAGCAGTAAAACAAAAAAAAAAAGGTTTTTCTGTCTTGGCGGCTTAATTCAGAGGCGGTCTGTCTACGTAGTAGGATTAGATTTTCTCAACGGGGGCGTTTCGGGCTTAAAACACCCATGTCCCAGAGTCACGCAGGAGGTAACTGCCGAGAAAAGGGCTCTCAGTGATTTACTGCAGGATTTAAAGAGAGCCGGGAGAACCGGAGCGTGGGGCGCAGCCCTTCCTGCCCTGCCGCGCCGCTGCGGCACCGGAGCTCCGCTGCAGCTGCCGCCGGACGGGGCCGTGGCACGGCCCGCACGTTCCCCGTCCCTGCTCCGATCCCCTGCCCGCCTTTCCCAGCCCCCCCGGTTGGGACGGAAGGAGGGAGGGAGCGAGGGCCGATGCGGCTCCGTGCGTCACCGTCCGGCCGGGCTGGGGCTCGGCCGCGGGGGGGTCAGGGCCCCGGAGGGCGGAGCGGCGGGAAGGCGGCGCGGGCCCAATCGCGGCCCAACGCGGCACTTTCAAACTGCCCCGGGCACCGGAGCAAAGGGCGCTCGCCGCTCCGCCGACACCGCCTCCCTTCGCTCCGGGCGGCGCTGGGCAGTGAGCAGGGGCGGGGCGGGCACAGCTGTTATCGCAGCGCTCCCAAACTGCACCCAGGGACACGCTTCCTTTTAAAGGGAGCCCTAATCGCCCACGCAGGCGCTACCGAGCGCCCTGGCACCCAAAATCTGAACTTTATTAACGCCCTGTAAACTCCCACCAAAATCTTTAAGTGATTTGGGGTTGCTGGTTTAAGACCGTAGTGTTTCAGTTCTTTTTAAGAGTAAGTGGGTGGCTCTTAAAAGAGCCTTTGGGTTTATTTAGATGAGTAGACTCTCAAATTTCTCTCAGGCACCTTACTTCTTTTTGGGCGCCGCCTTCTTCGCCTTGGCCGCTTTGGGTTTGGCTGCCTTGGGCTTGGCCGCTTTGGGCTTCACGGCCTTTGCCTTAGCCGGGCTCTTGGCCGCCTTCTTGGGGCGCCCGGCCTTGGCGGCTTTCTTGGGGCTCTTAGCCGCTTTCTTGGCCGCTGCAGCCGCCGGCTTCTTCGCCTTCTTGGGGCTTTTCTTCACCGCCGCCGCTTTCTTGGGCTTCTTGGCAGCGCTGGCGGGCTTCTTGGCCGCCGGCTTCTTGGGCTTAGCTGCAGGCTTCTTCTTAGTCGCCTTTTCTTTTGTCTCCCCTGGCTTCTTGTTCAGCTTGAAGGAGCCGGAGGCGCCGGTGCCCTTGGTCTGCACCAGGGTGCCCTTGCTGACGAGGCTCTTGAGCCCCAGCTTGATGCGGCTGTTGTTCTTCTCCACATCGTAGCCGCCGGCGGCCAGCGCCTTCTTGAGCGCGGCGAGCGAGAGCCCCTTGCGCTCCTTGGAGGCGGACACGGCCTTGGTGATCAGCTCGGTGACGCTGGGCCCCGCGGGCTTGCGGGCTTTGGAGCCGCTCGCCGCCTTCTTCGGCTTCTTGGCGGCGGCCTTGGCGCCGGGAGCGGAGACGGCGGGAGCGGCGACGGGCGCGGTCTCGGACATGGTGCCGGCCGGGTCCGGAGCCGGGCAGAGCACTGGGCCTGCAGCGAGTCGGCGGCCTGGCTTTTATAGAGCGAGCCGCGCGCTGATTGGCGCGCTGCAGGGCCCGCCCCGCCGCCCGGCTGGAAGGTGCCTTCGCCCCGCTCGGTTTGTGTTTCTTAGGAGCCAAAAAGGGCCCTTTTTAGCGGAATTTCCGCCACCGACCCCCCCCCAGTTCGCAGCGGCGTGGAGAAGAAAGACTCTTGTTCCCCTCGGCCGAGTTTCCTTTCGAAGAGGCAACGGGTGAGCTAAAAAAGAGGCGATAAACACTGAGTCCTGGACCTGAACAGACCTCCGGAGACAGAAACTTTTGTTTTTCCTTCTAAATAAAATCCGCGATGTGGGGAACTAGATTTCCAAAGTAATTAATTAATGTTCTTTAAAGGGTCTTCTCTTAATCTGAACTGAAAAGGAGGGATTTAGATCGATATTTTAGTCGCAATTTGATTTCAAAGAGGAGTAAGTAACACAGGCTCATCCTGAGCACTGAATATGGATTAGAAATTAGCTCCTTTGTCCAAAATCATTTACCTCTTTCAAAATAATTAAGAGAAATTAAATTAGTGCGTTATGCAGCAGGACCAGGAGCAGGTTAAAGTCCCGTGAAGGGCTCTTTGTCCCACCGAAGGAGGTGACTTTTTACAGCACAGCAGTTTGTGCTGTGTTGCTCAGTGTACACAATGCAGACATGGTTCCCTCGTCCTCTGCTACAGAAATACTCACTTTCTTAATAAATTAGGTGACATAAAAACTTAACACGGCCAATTTTTGTTAATAATAACAACCAGTGCCCTATCATTTCATAGTATATCAGTTTTTTTATTTTGATACAGCTGGATTGGCAAAAATCTGAGTCATCATTGTTTAAGGAGACACTGCTGCAGCTGATTTTCCCATTACTTGAACAAATTAAAACTTGTTCAAGTGATCAGTTAGGATTCCTCTTTCACAGCAATTTCCTAAATATTCCATTTTCTTACTGTTCAATGTCTGATCCCTACATTGGAATTAATACTAAAAATGCCATGTCTTGATGTATCTGCTACACTGGAACAGCTGGCTGCTAAGCAAGAGGGAGAACAGTCTTCAGAAGCACTTTTCCAAGACCAAGCTTCAATTAAAAATAAATACACATTGTTTTTCAGAGTACAAAGCATTAAAAGAAGTATTCTCTGACATGTTTATTAATGCCTATAACCCATTGTTTTGACAAAGGCCTGTAAACTCCTTTTTCTCTCCTGATATTGTAACTGTTGGTGATACTAAAATTCTGGACAGTGTTACGATTTCAAGTAATTTATGCTTTCAAATGGATAATTATTAAAATATGTTTTTTGATTAATAATAGCAGATTTTTGGTTTCTATTTCAACATATTTATGGTTTATATTTAGCACTATGTAGAAGATAGACTCAAAACTGGCAACAGTCCTTTTCACCTCAGATTGCCTGGGTCTTGTGATGAACAATTCTTCTCAAACTCCTTCAGATTTGAAGCAGAAAATGGGGTCAGCAGCTCAAAGATTTTTAATAAGAAGGATTAGTAACTCAGAATGCCTTTTAATACAAAACAACAACAGCAAAACCAAATTAAAAAAAAAAAAACGAAACAAAAAAAAAACAACTTCCAACAACATATGTAGGTCTAAAAGTTGTTTGGAGGGGACAGGGCTGTTTTTAAAGACATCATTGAATTATCTGAACTTCACAGAGGGCCGAGCTGCAAAAGGAGAGACACGATGTGGGTGGGGGTTCTTTCCTACAGTCTTAACAAACTTTCTAACCCCCATCAGCACAAAATGCTTTATTTTACTACACAGTAGATTTTTCAAAGTTTTGATATTAATTTAAGAGCTCAGATACAAAGTATTCGGGGCGGTTTGGTTGGGGACTTTTTTCCAAGAGCTGGAATTAAAAGGATTTGGGGCGTTTAAGGGGGGGGGGGGGGGGGAATTGCTCGTTTCGGTTATATTTTAGGTTTTTTGAGAAGGGGGGGAGGGGAAGTGTTTAGTTGGGTTTTTTTTGCTAGGATATACAGCTCCTTTTATGAGGAAGTGGGTGGCTCTGAAAAGAGCCTTTGGGTTACTTTTGAGGTTGGGATCGCTCCTCGGACTTGTTTCACTTGCTTTTCGCCTTGTGGCTGTCGGTCTTCTTGGGCAGCAGCACGGCCTGGATGTTGGGCAGCACGCCGCCCTGCGCGATCGTCACCTTGCCCAGCAGCTTGTTGAGCTCCTCGTCGTTGCGGATGGCGAGCTGCAGGTGGCGGGGGATGATGCGCGTCTTCTTGTTGTCGCGGGCCGCGTTGCCCGCCAGCTCCAGGATCTCGGCCGTCAGGTACTCCAGCACGGCCGCCAGGTACACCGGCGCGCCGGCGCCCACGCGCTCCGCGTAGTTGCCCTTGCGCAGCAGCCGGTGCACGCGGCCCACGGGGAACTGCAGCCCGGCCCGCGACGAGCGCGACTTGGCCTTGGCCCGCGCCTTGCCGCCCTGCTTCCCGCGCCCGGACATGGCTCCCGCTGCCGCCGCTCCGACACCGACACCGCCACCGCCCGAGCCGAGTGACGCGGTCACGTGCCTCCGCGCCCCGTGCGCGGCCGCTTTTATAGCTCCTGCGCGCGCCCCGCCGGCTCGCTGATTGGCTGCGGCGCGCTCCGGCTCGCTCCGACCAATGGCGCCGCGGATCCAAATTCGGCCAATGGGAGCCGCCGGCGGCCGCGCCCGCGGAGCCGCCCCCGCTGCCGGCCCCGGCCCCGCTCCGGGAGCGAGGGCAGCGCCGGGGAAACGCCTCCCGGCCGCCCGGCCCAGGAGAGCACGGGAGCACAGCCGCCTCCCCGGAACCCCGCTCCGTGCCAGGGCTGTCGGTTCAGAAGTAATCCCGCATTTTAAAGGGCTACTTTAAAAATGTGTTACTGTTATGATAAAGAGAAGCTTTACTTTCAGTGGGAGCATTTACACCCCAGCACTACTGATAGGTGTATAAACTAGGCAGGAAGACATAACACAAGACGTTTCTCTGATTCTACAGATAAATTACTTCAGTCTTGCTGCAATCACATTGGTGTTTTTAAGCTGAATTATCTGCCTCCAGGCTGAATCTTCTCAACTTTGGTAAACATAACTGATGTTGTCAGCTAACTTCCACAACAGAAGTTGTTTAATAAAGAAAGAATTTCGTGATTCAAGAACTGTGTAAAGTTACATCACACAATATGCATTAGGTGGGCGGGTTCATGTAAATTTTACATGTTCTCAGTACAGAGAACCACCTGCAAACATTTTTGATTGTCTCCAGAGTCTGTGAAAACAGATTCAAAGTTTTCAAGTGTAAGTTTGATCAGCTAATAACTTTGTCTCCTTAAAGCAGATTTCACCTCAAAACATGGCGCATTCAGCTAAGCCTAAAACTTACAGCCAGCTAAATGTATTGTTTGAGGTATCTGTTAGTCTGCTATCCTAATATCAACCACTACTAAAATTATGTCAGTCAATCTTCTAACATTAAAATTGTTTACTAATTTTTACTTAAGGTAGCCTGTCCATGATGCACCCAGTAGTTATCTGAGGCTTGATATGAAGCAAGCCTCCCAGTCAAGAGTATATAAAATAATTTGTTTTGTAATTATTAGTAGTATATCAGGACTTAAGTTTATACTACCAATAAAGATTACAAGGGATGTTTAGGAACTTAAAAACAAGAAAATAGCAGAAGCTTAGTGGGGAAAAAGTAAGTATATGTTATTTATGATGTGATTATTACTTTTCTTTTCTGAGGTTCTGAATGCCTCTATAATCTTCCAAGGCAAGCGAAGAACCCTCGCCCCTCTCCACCTGCCTGTTAGTTTCTCACAAATCACAGGGAAAGTGGTATTTTGATACACTGAACATTTATTGTCTTTCACAAGAAAAAATGAAGTTTCCCCAGCCAACAAAATCCCATCAAGATGACCATAAAGGGGATAGGATGCAAAACTCCAGTGTACAGTATACACAACAAATTACCTCCCTGACTACCCTGGAAGAAAGATGATTGATCAACCTCACTGCAACTAAAAACATGATTATAAAATATTTACAGAAAAAAAAAAACAGTACAGAAAATAAAAACTGGACAACCATTTGTGTATGAAACGCTGCTAACACTTTTCTGGCTCGTTAAAAACCTGTTCCACTACCCTCACCAGAGCACTCAGGGTGTGTAAGGATTTCGGGGATTTTGGCAGGGAATAGTCACCCCCGTCCCCAGAGTACCATTATCTCCCTCTAAGGAAGGGGGAGCACTTGAGGGGAGCAGCATCGCCTCCTTTACTGCAATCTCCTTTCCCCAGGTGGACGTGGTGGCTCTGAAAGGAGGTGCCCAGGCACACCTCAGCTGCAGCGGTCTCTGCTCACAGCACACTGGCAAGTTAACCTGTGGGTAGGGAACTATTTCCAGTCATGCCCTTTCGTTGCTTGCAGGAGGACTTTCCCTTCTTCTCCCTCCACAGTGTTCAGAGGGGCAGGTAAGCTGACCAGGACTACAACAGGTCACAGGAGACCTTCCATTTCTTTCATGAAGGCTTCATACACATCATCCTTTGTCTGTACAGAGATAGGGGCAGATGAGCCAGCCTTAGGGGCAGCTTTGGTTAAGGGCAGAGCAGGCTCATCCTCCTGCTTCCTCTGGGAGGCGGCGGCGGCCCCCTTGTTCTCGCGGCGCACGCGCAGCGCGGTGGGCACGAAGCGCGTGATCTCCGCCTTGGGGTTGGTGATCTGCGGCTTGGCGCTGATGGTGGCCGTGGCCTTCTTCTCGATGGTGGCCGCGCTGGTGTCATCCGCCTTGGGCCGCTGGATCAGGCTGGGCGGGGCGCTCAGCACCCCAGGATTTGGAATGGGAGCTGGTGGGAAGAGCCCAGGTGGGGCAGGTCCTAAGGGAGGCACCAGAGGCGGCCGTAACATGCCTGGGCGAGGAGGAGGGATACCTGGAAGAAGAAAAAAGAAAGCGTGAGCTGTCTCCACATCTGGAAATTTCAAAATATTTGAGGAAAAATGTGCACAGGATCAGAATGCCAAGAACAAAAAGCAAAACGAAGCAACCCCCAACAAGATGCAGCAGCACTGGCTTTAAAAAAAAAAGGTTTTCAAGTCTGCATTAAATGCTGGGTTGAAAATGCTGTTCTTCAGGCTCTGAAAGCCACAGGAGCTTTTTATCGTTCCCTTTTAAATTTAAATTTTTTTTTTTTTTTTTTATCACTCCCTTTTAAATTTAAAGTTATAATCTGAGAATAAAGTTTCTTGACAATCCATCCCACTGGAATTTCAGAGTCATCAGAAATGTCTGACCCAGGCACAAAAAATAAATACTCAGATCTCCAACTCATTTAGTGGAGCACCATTACAGCACCCAAAGAATGCTTCAGAAAGAGTCCATCAGAGTAAAAATTTAAACTCTGAAATTCCCTTTTTTTCAGGGCAGATTTCTTGCTACCAAACTATGCACAGAATTTCCTTGTTACTGCACAGAATAATGTAATAGCACACGGTACAATGCAGCCACAGCCAGGAACAAAGACAAACCAGCAGCCAATTATGCCTCACTGGCTTTATCACCACAGCCAAGACTGCGAAAAGAAAGCAAGAAAGGACTTGGCACTGAGACAAACAGAACCCCTTACCTGGGGGGGCAGGAGGGGGCAGACGAGGAGGAGGACCACGTGGAGGAGGACCCGGGGGCAGGCCTGGTGGGGGGCCTGGGGGAGGACCAGGCGGTCTCCCCGGGGGAGGACCAGGGGGCAGCAGTCGAGGCAGAGGCCCACGCAACCCTGGTAACCCTGGAGGTCTCAGGAACGGAGGAGCTCCTGAAAGTGTTCATGTAACAAACAAGAAATTTAATTCACAGTTAAAAACATGTCCCAGCAACTTTCTCATCAGCTAAGGATAAAGATCTTCAACATACCAATGAAAGCTGTATTACCCAGGTGCCAGATTAAATAGAATTTCTAAAAATCTCAAGCAGAGGCAGCAGTTAAACTGTTAAAGCATCTTTCTGAAGGTAAAGTGTATAATGGAAAAAGGGTTCCTCCCCATTTAATTAAGTTGTAACTGGTAACAGCTTCTAAGCTCAGTTTGTCAGAATTTAAACAGCTAAAAACCTTTCTCTGTGGCATTTGATTTTTCTTTTGGACTAAAAATAAGAACTTTTGCTCTTTTACTCCACTTCATACACTGGCTCTGCTGCTGTCTGCCAGTGTTGGCTCTAACAAAGACAACCATCAGGAAGGCTACAGCTACAGGAGGCTGATGCCTCAAAAGCAAGGTACAGCAACAATGATGCAGACTGATGACAGCCAGGTCTCACCAAGTGGGTACATATACTCCATCTACAACACACTGTGCAGCTTCCAGAGTCCCACACTGACACCACTGCCTGAGAGCCTGCATCCCTCAGAGCAGGATAAACCAAGCACTCACCGGGTGGAGGGCCGGGAGGAAGGCCAGTGGGTGGGCCTGGGGGCCTCAGTGGAGGGGCTGGAGGTGGTCCCAGAGGAGGAGGCCCAGGCATGGGAGGTGCCTGTATCTGAGCTGGAGGCACAGCCTGGGCACTCTGCTGCTGCTGCTGCGCCTGGGAAGTTGCAGTAGATGACCCGGTCTCTGCAAGCGCCTCCTCACTGAGTTGTTGCTGCTGCTGTTGCTGTGATGTCTCTTCAGATTCTGAGTCCTCTTCCTCCTCCTCCTCTTCTTCTGAATATTCCTCCACTTCTCTCCCTTCTTCTGGAATTTCCTGGCCTGGATATGGAGATGATACCCTTATAATATCTGTCTATGCATAACATCTTTGTGAACATCAGAGAAAACTGAGTACACAGAAATAAATAAAAAGAAGCAAGAGAAAGATAAACCTTACTTCAAAGGGAAGAAATCTGACCACTTTTTACTGGTAAACATAAAATGAAAACAAATAAAAATAATAACAGAAAAATCACTACTGTTCTAGAGAGAGCTCTGACAACAAGAGTTATGTGTTCCTCTGGGATCTGAAACTTGTACTATCAGCCCAAACTTCTGCTTTTTAATCTCTGCCTTAAAGGAGTTTGTGGGGAGGCAAGGCAACAGGGGGTTGGGGACACAATGCCACAATAAACAAAATCCCCATGTCCAAGAAACTCCTGCACCTTTGAAAGATACTGGAGTTTCTTTTTAAAACAAAGTTTGTTTTATTGGTTAACTTATCTCAGCAGAAGGGTATTTTTAGGAGGTACAAATCTTTACAGGTTACCTGCTGAGCACACAGATAATGTTACCCTTTCTCTTTCACCAAGAGATTTGGACTTCATTTGAACAACTGTTTAAAAGTTAAGCAAGAAAAGGTTTAGAAGAAAAAAAAGTAAATTGCTACTCTTAACTTCAATTCTGCTATGCAAAACACACACATTACTTAAAAATAAATGTAAAAAAACCATACAAAACCAAAAAAACCAAACAAACAAAAGAAAAAAAGAGCAAAAACCAAACTATAACTCAAATACCTAACGAGAGCTGCCACTCTGAGCAGAG